ACCCAGCAGAGCTGCTGGCTAGAGCTCCCCACGTCCTCTCCTGCCTCCCTCCCTGTATGTGGGCTCCCCACCAGCCCATAGCACAGGCCACAGGGATTATGGTGTGCCCAGGCACACCCCGTGCGCACGCCTATGATCCTGCCCTTTAAATGGAGCAACCGGCTCTCGGGCTGGCGGTATATTTTGCTGTTGTAGAACAGTGCTCAGGCCATGGAGGGCATTGGATGAAGGAAGCTTCCAACCTGGATGCTAAAAGGCTCATAACCACTCAACTTTTCCCCTTTTGGGAGTATTATCTAGTATGTACTATTGTTTAATCCTCTTTGTGCATTCTACACTGTTTATGTAGGCATTGCCTTTCATCTTTTCTTACCCCACTACCTTGGGGGCTTAGTAGGGGTCTTAATCAGACAAATTAATCGTTGTTACAAAACCATATATAAATACAATAAATGTGTCTATAAAACAGTCTGTGTAAATAGGATACATTGTTCTTATTATAAATTACATTTTAGCTGGGGCAGGGCCTAACCATCATGGCGGAGAGTTGTGTTTCTCATGGACTCCCGCACAATATCGGCAATCTGAGCAAGCTATGGCTTCTTCCAGTGAGACAAGCGACGGTTCCGTACAGGGGCGTTTTAGCCGCGAGGCAAACAAGGCATTTGCCTTGGGCGGCATTTTTCAGGCGGCGGCAAAAAACGCCGCCCCCAAATGCCCAGGGCAAATGCCTTGTTAGCCTTGCGGCTAACAGACATGCCGAGCGGCTGGTGAGGGAGCTCTTCCTCTGAGCTGTCCGCTCAGCTCCCTCGCGCGCCGCAGAGTGAGGCTGGGAGCCGGAATATGACGTCATCTTCGCTCCCAGCCTCACTGCCGGCGAGGGAGCTGAGCCAGCTCAGAGGAAGAGCTCGCCCAACCCAGCGCCGCCCGCAGCCACTGGACCACAAGGGAGATAGAGAACCCCCCCAGCATTCCCAAAGGTAAGGAGGGGGGGGGGGAGTAAATTTAAAAAAAAAAATGTGTTAATGTGAGTGTGTGTGTGTGTGTCTCTGTTAATGTGTGTGTGTTTGTTAGTGTGTCTGCTAGTGTGTGTCTGCTAGTGAGTTAGTGTGTGTGTCTGTCAGTGTGTGTGTGTCTGTTAGTGTGTGTGTGTGTCTGACAGTTTGTGTCTGTTAGTGAGTATGTGTGTGTCTGACTGTGTGTGTGTGTGTCTGACTGTGTGTCTGTGTGTCTGACTGTGTGTATGTGTGTGTCTGACTGTGTGTATGTGTGTGTCTGACTGTGTGCGCGCGCGTCTGTTAGTGTGTGTGTGTCTGTTAGAGTGAGTGTGTGTGTGTGTCTGTTGGCGTGTGTATGCGTATCTGTCAGTGAATGTGTGTGTGTGTATTTAGAAGGCGGGGCGGGGGAAAGGAGGCGCCTGAGTTTTGTCCTGCCTAGGGCAGCACAAAACCAGGATACACCACTGGTTCCGTATACCCATTTGCCCCCCACAGAGGGCTTGCAGTGGAGTGTTATGTGACCCAATCGAGGCCCGCTGGTACAGCGACTGACATTGTGTCCTAGTATGCATCGGAGTTGTCTTGAAGCCGCCTACAGCACAAGCAAGCCCCGTTACCCTCCCTCGGACCATGGGGGTGATCCTGGTCCACCCGAGAGAGGCTACCCAAACCATGCTGTAGTGTGGAGTGTCGCTACATGAGCAGGGAAAGCAAATGGAATCTCACCCAAGATGGAGGACACAGTTTGTGCCGATGCTCCCAAAGAAGCTCCACACGACATCCTGACAAAACTGCAAAAATACTTTGATGTGTTCTGGAGGAAGCTGGAGCACAAACTCCGACGATGAAAGCATATTCAAACAAGTGACTTGCTGACACCCCCCTGATCAGCTCATTGAACCCTGGAATCACTCCACATGTTCATACCTCTCCACAGGGGCGGGTATACTCCAGCAACAGATAGTTGCACCACCAGACCTCGATGTGCCCTTGCTTTCAAACAACATAGAAGCCTGCGGAGGTTAAAATCTGTGACATTGGCAGCCGTCAGGAGACCCTACAGACACTGACCACGCTCCCAGAGAAAGGGGCCTCATCCTGGAAAGGAGATTGGAAACCCTTGATTGCAGCTGAATTGCACGGCCCTGCACCCCAGCAAGCATATTGATCACCCCTTATGCATCCCCCTTGTATGAACCATACAGATTTTACCACAGGGCTATGTCTCACCTAGGACTGGCAAGGGTTGATCAGTACTCAGGCCTCTCTCTTCAGCAATTTACCATCAGCTTCTGGTTATTGCAACCTTTCACTATTAGGCTACAACACAGCAGTCACAGTACAGTACTTGTAACCCTGAAGTTAATGTTTCCTACTCTTCTTTTCATTTTACTTTGTTTTGCCTCTACTCATTCTCAGCTCATGATTCAGTCCTAGCCAGCATTTGTTAGGCCTCTGTTTCTGTTCTGCCTTTTGACCACAATCTACCACTCCTTGCTATTTCTCTATATAATTATAAAAATTTGCAGTATCTCAGACAGGCATAGTGCCCACTTGCTGACAATCTCTCATTCTTTACTCTGCAATGTCTTACTTACTCTGTGATTTCTGCAAGACACAACAAAAATAAAGAATTATTTTTAAAAATCAATTACATTTTACTTCTGTAAATTGTTATGTTACCTAAAATGTATTCTCAGACAAGTCCTGCCCCTAGTTATACCCCAGCCATAGCCTCAACATAAAAGTGTCCTTCGTTGTCCATTTGCAATTTTAGGAATTATGAATTCACACTTTAGTGAACAACCCTGAAAGTGATGGTGTATATTGTTGTTAAGTTCAAAATTTGTTTTTGTGGTTTGATGGAGAGAAAAGAAAGAAAGCAAGCAGCCACAGCAGGTTGCAGTAGACAGTGGACAATTGCATGCCTCCCAACTGTTTCAATTTCAGTGGAGCAGTCCTGATTTTTGGTCCTGTCCTGCCTTAGTTCTCTAGTGCCACTTTTGGGGAAACCAGGAAACTGTCCACAACAATAATAGCGCTATGTTCACTGAAACAGTGCTCCCTGCATGTCTTGCCCTCAGTGGGTTGACCTTAGTGATGGAGAGGAAGCCTGGCGTGCATTCATGCATGGCTAACCTGCCATTAACTCAGGCAAACCCACCACACACAAACATTTTTTATTTATTAATAGGTCCACCTACCTCCCTACCTTTCTCTGTGAGGGCGGGAGATGATCCTCTCCTTGTTGGCCAGTGGTTGCCAATAACTGTGCTCTCCCTACACCCTGTAGTGATGCCAATGCCAGGAATGCCGTAATATCCTGGCTGTTGGAACACTGCAGGGCGCGAGATGGAGCACACTAAGTACATAGCTCCCTTGATGCCTTTTTGCCCCCCCCCCCCCAACTGGACACTATTATATCTAGACAGAGTAGGCACCTGCTGTGTGGGTCGGCCGGTGCCTACTCTGCCAAGTACTGTAAAACTGTACGGCACCCACAGAGGCTAAATGGCTAAAAAGGCTCGAGGCGAGGGGCAATTAATAAACTAGGGTTGAGCAAGTGGGCAATTGCCCCCCCCTCCGCCACCATTAACACTCTATAGTGACACCATAGACTATTGTTAAAATTCTATACACGCCACAGAAGTTTTCAAAGTATATTATCCAAATAAAGTTAAATAATATTCCAATCTTGCTAAATGTTTTGGAATACTACTAGTGATTTAAAGCAACAAATATCACTGTGCTTGCACAAAGTACAAACAGTTAAGGAAATTATTAAAGGGGCTGAAGTGACACATGGAGGGGCTGGGGGGGGGGGAATTAGACACGTGGAGGGGCTGATTGGAATGAGACACATGGAGGCGTTTAAGGGGGAGCAAATTAGACAAATGGATGGGGCTTTGAAGGGGAGGAAATGAGATACATTAAGGGTTTTGGAGGGAGGAAATGAGACACATGGAGGGGCTGGGGTTGGGGAGAATAAGACACATGGAGGTGGGGGGCCAGGGAAATTTGGAGGTGGGGGGCCAGGGAAATTTGGAGGTGGGGGGCCAGGGAAATTCTCTAAAACTGAAATGTCTTACATTGTAGGACTAAGAACAATAGGGACACTGCACTCAGACCACTTCAATGAGCAGAAGTGGCTTGGGTGCCTGCAGTGTTCCTTTAATTGTGTCAAAGGCTTTTGAGTAGATCCTGAACTTGCAAAACCTAGTGAGACAGCTAGGTAGAGAATCAGAGGACGCTGCGTATCACCAGTCTTTAAGGTGGCCAAACTAGGGAGGTTAACAGAGTCAGTGTGATTTTCACATTTTACGCTAAAATAGCTGACCTGAAAACATAGCTGACTGACTTGGAAAACTTTTCCATTTTTACTAAAATTTGAAATGCACAACAAATCCCACTTTAGTAAATGACACAGGAAGAGACAGTTTTAGGATGTCAGAGAGGAGGATACAGTCAATGGCAGTGGATAATCTAGATAATTAAAGGTCAAAGTCAGGGAGCTAGAATTCAGGGAAAAGGAGAGAAACAAACCAAATATGAATAACCAGGGACACCAACTACACGAGAACGTGCTAGAAAAAAACTTTAAGGCATTGATCCAGGAGTTTAACCCCTTAAGGACCAAACTTCTGGAATAAAATGGAATCCTGACATGTCACACATGTCATGTGTCCCTAAGGGGTTAAACAGGCAACCAAATGTATCTGTGTAAACTTACTAGTGTATACCCCCATCTACATCAGACATGCTGAGCTTATTATTATTATTATTATTCTCTCTTAGCACTAAGAAAAGAGGAACCAGTGGAGCAGCGAGTGATATAAGTATTTGGTTTCTAAACAGGCAGAATAATTGGAAAGTAAGCGTACGCTACAATACAAAGTAAACTACAACTCCCGGCATGCCTTGCGGCCATGTCCCTCTCAGGCTCCCGTAGCCCGCACTATATGAATCCCTGGCTCAGCTGTGAGTTCAGTATCAGTCTGGGGTTGGTAATTTGCCGGGATGTTTCTCCGTAGAGCTGTGATCGCCGCCGGGGGTTCTGCTGTCGCTCTTTTTGCCGCCGTGTCTGTGGGGAAGAGCGGGGATGACTTGGTGTCTCTCTGGCCCCATGTGCACCCTGGACGCTGGGATAGGAACTGGGATTAGTGAGTACCTGCTGGGAGAATTAAAGCATCCTGTGATGGGATGTCCTGTACCGGGGCTGGAATATCCGTACTGAGCGCTATAGAGCAGACACTGGGATCCTCTGCAGTCTGGGCCCAGGAGCTGACAATCTAACAGGAAGCTGCCATTAGTATAGGGAGCTGAGAGCATTCTGCTTCAAATCCAGGGGCTATCCGCAGAATTTAATTATCCTGAGTCCTAGGGGTGTGGGGTTTTTTTTTTTTTTTTTTTTTCTTTGAGACGACAAAAGTAGTATTGTGTTAATTGATGGTGAGAAAAAGTTGACAAATGGTGCCACCTCCAGTTACAAATACATCATTACATAGTCAAATAGGACTTACTAACTTTTGTTTCTGTGTGGGATATACTTGCTCTCGCAGTCTGTACAGAGCAAGCATGCAGCGATGAATAATGACCCACTGCTCATTTCTGCCATATTTCCTTGGGTCTTATGTATTTTTGTTTGGTCTCAAATCTCTCAAGTGAAAACTCATACTTTCCTCTAACACGTTCTACCTTTTTTGTTTGGTTTACAGAATTAACACTAACAAGCCTGGTGTCTTTGTTCTGGGATGGATACTCTGGTGGCAACATACAATCTGTGTGCAGTGTCATACTGACGTGCTGCGTGCACACATAGTCCTTGCACTATGACTATCATGGGATAAAGTCAGGCTTTTTGAGAAGTAGCATCCATCTGGCTGGTCTCTTGTCTGGTTCAAGATAACTTGCAACATATGAAATCTTGTGCACTTATTGCAGCCACTTCAAATCTATATTTTTTTTATTTTTTTTGGGTGTATATTATCTTGTTTCAAACAGCCGTTCTAGCCTTGACTATCCCCATTAGTCGCTTTAATCTCAGTGAAATTGTCATTTTTAACCCTGCAGTGTTATTTATATCCACCTTGTTGCTCTCAATGGAAGACCAGAAAAAGGTAAGTATTTACCGGGATACTGTCAGGGGTAGGCAACCTTTGGCACCCCAAATGTTGTGGACTATATCACCCATAGTGCTGGCAAAGCATCATGGGAGGTGTAGTCCAAAACATCTGAAGTGCCGAAGGTTGCCTATGCCTGCTGTTGATCAATGTTTTCTTGGCATTAGAACTCCCTATACTGCCTCCTTTTTCCCATAATGCAGAGGGGATTTAAAAAAAAAAAAAAAATTGCTTAACTGATTCCAGTGCTGATTCAGGGCCCTCTTCTGCGCATTAGGGGACCATTGCCGCAGTTCATTAAACTGCAATAATCACCACTGTTAAGGGATACCCAGACCACTTTAATAAGCTGAAGTGGTCTGGGTGCCTAGTGTCCCTTGAAGTGTTAAAAGGACACTCCAGACCCAAAACTCTGTTTAGCTTGCTGAAATTCTTTGTGTAGTGTCCATTCATCTTACAAAGAACAGATTTCAATAAAAACCTTTATAAACTAACATTGTTATGCCCAATGGCTTTCAAGCAGATAGTCTTGATACTTATTGGTTTATTTAGCTCAAGCGGTCTTGCATTGCATATACACGCAATGAGAAAATGCATAATTTTTTATTTAGGGCATATCTACTAAACAGTGACTTTGCTCTTGTTCAGTGACATGTCCTTTTTAAGAACAAAAGTATTTGTTAATTTTGGTGTGTATATGTAAAAGCTGTGCTGTTTGTACAGGTGACAAATATAGGTCATAAACATATGAAAATACATTTCCACAGATCTGCCTTATGATTTTCTTACTGAACTCTTTAAATGTCTATTCTCCCCACCCCAAAACAGCCGTGAACCAATGTCTCTAATTAATTTGAATGATCTGAAAGGGTGCACAGAAAAAGACCGTGAGGACAAGCTGACAAAATGTGATGCTAAAGTCAGTCGACACATCTACCTGATCAGACATGGTCAGTACAACGATGCTGACTGTGAATCTGAAAGGACCCTAACTGGCAAGGGTGAGACTTTGTAGTATTAAGTGACTGTCTGTCTGAAACATCTACATTGACTTTCTTAATTGTCCCTTTAAACAAAGCTGTGCTCCTTTTTGTAACATTTTGAATGTTTTTTTTTTTTTTCCATCTAATCCGCTTCAGCTGATGAAACCAGCTGGCAAGTGATTTCCTTGATCCCATGGTTTTTTTTTTTTTTTTTGTGATAAAGAACCTTTCCACAACCAAAAAAACTTTAAGGGTGAGGCGTATTCTAGTTTAACACTACTTTACAAAAGTGCTGATTTCTATGAGAAATTGGTCCTTTAATGCTTTTACTAGGGGAAAATCATCCTGGCAGCCAGCCAGTGAGGTTTGCATCCTTTCTGTTACTTCCACTGACTTAACAGAAGTGGCAGGCATGCTCTACTTAAAGGACCACTATAGGCACCCAGATCACTTCAACTCAATGAAGTGGTCTGGGTGCCAGGTCCATCTAGGATTAACCCTTTCTGCTGTAAACATAGCAATTTCAAAGAAACTGCTATGTTTACCTATGGGTTAATCCAGCCTCTAGTGGCTCTCATTGACAGCTGCTAGAGGCACTTCTGCGCTTCGCACTGATCTTCAGTGAGAAGACGCCAGCGTCCATAGGAAAGCTTTGAGAAGTGCTTGTGCTGCACATTCAGCCGATGACTGGGAAAGGAGGTGGAGTCCCCACTGCTGAGGCGCCCAGGTGGAGAAAAGGTAGGTGTTTAACCCCTTTCTCACCCTACAGCCCGGTGGGAGGAGTGACCTCAGGGTGGGTGGGCCTAGAGACACTATAGTAGGGAAAACACTTGTTTTCCTGGCACTATAGTGGTCCTTTAAGTGTGCCTGTCTCCCTCCACAGACCTCAAACCAGACATGCACATTCAATGGTGTGCATGTACAAATCAAAGTGCACATGGGCACCAACTCTCAGGCTTCTCAATGAGAAGCCTCTAATTCTTCTCATGTAAAGAGGCTGACAGGGGGAAGAGGAGCACTTGCTAAGGATACAGTTCATAAGATCTGGGGGTGGATTTAGCAGAACTTCATTTCCCACTATTGCAGCCTTCATTTTGACTCTATGCTGCATTGTTTAAGACCAGTGCTTCTACTGCAGTGTGAAGAGACCATACCTGACAGCTTTCCCTCAGCTCCAAGCCTTGACTACATTCTCCCCTGCAGTCTCTAATAAGCCTACCTGGCCCCATGCATTGAGTTCCTCACTCCACTGCAGTGTTATCCAGGCAGGAAGTTAATACACTACTCCTGAGGCAGGACTTCTAGTAGTGACCTCAAATAGTAAAGTATCAGTTTAGTTCAGTTCAATTTCTATATGCAATGTCTTTTAGCACTGCAGACTACACTTCCTTGAGAAATAGTGTAGCAGAACTAGTTACTGGTGAGGCATAAGGGCCCTAAAGCATACAAAGATAGAGGGGATTTAAAAATAAATCTAGTCACTATGTGACAACAAATAGTAACCTGAATATATTGATAGAATAGAGTTCACTTTAGGAAGATTTGAAGCACTGGTGACTTGTAGGAACTCTAAAAGGCAAATGTTTGCTTTAAAATGCATCATTTTTATATGCCTACCTAAATCTAGTGTCTGTAGGCTGCAGTGTCCCTTTAACTACATTCTGTTCTTCCCCCTTCTTTAGGACGTGAACAGGCAGACTTGACTGGACAGCGTCTGGCAACTCTTGCAAATGAAGGGATTAACTTTAATGGCATTGTTTATTCATCTCTGACCAGATCCACAGAAACTGCTGATATCATCAGCCGTCGCTTACCAGGTGAGGTGTGCAGGGAATAATGGTTCTACAAGAAATGATCTTGTGAATAGACCATTTAATTATGTTCAAGGTAAAGCAGAACCAAAATGTTATCTGTACATGTTCTCGTCTCAGAGCCAAACGACACTTGCATGATCTGCATCTCTGATGGCAGCAATCAGGCTTGTTCACTAAATTGCAAATCAGGCTGTGTGGCTTCTACCAAACTAGAGCAGTCCCTGTTCTGTGATTGAATCTGTGGTAGGGGATAAAGTGCTTATCCTATAATCCCCCATTTTAGCAGGTGTTCGATATAAAATCAGTCCCTGTAGACCAGAATGTAATTCTTCTGATACCAGCATACCCTCCCATGTGGTCACTCGTTTGTAGCTGTTACTAAGGGAGACTTGGTAGAGCATAGTTTAAAAACAAAAACATGACTAATTGTCAGGGGTGATGGTATCCCTAGATATAGGGTCTAGACGAACACTAAAAGGTCACTCCAGTAATACTGACTGCACCTTCATAACTTTTCATTTTTATCTTTTTTTCAAAGACTTCTAAAATCCCAAAGTGCCATACTTGTCTGTCTTGTATTAAAATAATGAATTAATCAAAAACTCTAAAATCACATCTAGCATGGTTTGTATGATTGTATACTTCAATTTATGCTATTTACAAAGCTGAAATGTGATACCAATTCTAGTCTTAGTGAGTTCTCTCCTCTATCCAACTACATTGTAGTAACCCAGTGTTCCCTTCTATAGGTATTAAAATGTGTAGCTCTAACTTGCTTCATGAAGGAGCTCCAACCCGGCCAGTACCTCCAGAATCCAGGTGGCGACCAGATCTTGATGTAAGATGGCTACCTGAAACAATATAATGGGTTTCTGGGTTTTAATGTTCCTTTTAGCATATGGTTCTCCATTTCAGTATTTTAAAGATGGCCCACGCATTGAAGCTGCGTTCAGGAAGTACATCCACCGTGCGGATCCAGAGCAAACCAAAGACAGTTATGAGATTATAGTCTGCCATGATAATGTCATCCGCTACTTTGTATGCAGGTAAATGCTATTTAGTTACTGCCACCAACTAATATCATTCTTCTCAGCAGATGGGCTGGTTCTACTAAGGCTGACTTTGACTGTTGTATTTACAACTTCTGTTGTATTTACAACTACAAGTATTGGCATTTAAGGGTAAAGATCACTAGAACAAATTTTTTATTTGTGTAGACAGGCAACTATCTAATCATAAATTAACCAATTACCCAGGATTCTTGATTGATAACTTAGATGCACAATAACAAGTGTGTAAATTCATAACCTTTTTCTTGACCTGTAGAGCACGAATCTCTCACCTCTTGTATAATTCCAATGTATACCTTCACAGGGCACTGCAATTGCCACCTGACGGTTGGCTTAGGATGTCTCTGTACCATGGAAGCATTACCAAGATGGTGGTCTATTCCAATGGGGATGTGTCGTTGATTACACTTGGTGATGCTGGATATATGCCCCCGGGGAAACTTTCTGGTGCATAGCTGGACTTCGCTTGGAGACATCTTCTGTGTTGGACTTGTTTTGACTATACCTACTGGTGTGACAAGCAGGACATGTTACAGAATCATTGAAACCTTTTCCAGCCTTATTCTAATTATTGCACCAATAGGGGTGATTGCACACTTGGTTTCATAGACCAGAACACTTGAGGCCTTGTCAGTGGAAAGTTTGCTCTCTCGTATTTGGAGTTGGTGCAATAATCTGACAAAACTGTAGCAGGGATGCTGGGACATGTTTACTCAGTGGTGTTTTGCACAGAAAACGTATTAGTATAATTAGAACTTATTATTCTTATACTTATTAGAGGTGGTGTTTTGCACAGAAAACGTATTAGTATAATTAGAACTTATTATTCTTATACTTATTAGAGTGGTGTTTTGCACAGAATAGTAATGAAGGGTGCTATGCTTTAAATACTGCACATATTTAGTAATATGCATCAAAAAGCACTTACAATGAGTGCAGTTATTCAACTGTCAATTTCTATGCACTTTAAAATGTTAATAAATGCAAGTGAATACGACTCCATGCTACTTTGCTTTTGTCCTGCAACAGACATTAAGTTTCTTGGAGTTCCTCCTCTTATGTGGACATAATGTATCAATGCTTAATCTAATGCTGTGTAGCAATTTATAACACTATGAATACATGTATTATGTGTCACTTCTGCCTAATCATGAAGGCACAAGAAAATGCAGGCTCCAAGAAAATAGACTGCAAGTATGGCTTTCTGTGCTACTCTAGGACTCTACCTTCACATGTAACTCCTGACAGTGCTCACTGTTTATGGGTTTAAAAAAAAACAACTTTTTTTGGAAAGCTGTCACCTGGCTTGCAGAAAATTAGAGCTTGGAGTTTTCCTTCAGTGGAATGCATGTCCTGGTGATCTTTGCATTCCACTACACACTGCTCCACGCGAATTTGAATCCGGACACTTTGGCTCTCCAGGTGTGTCCCCCTCCAAGAAAAAAGACAGCAGAGAAGGAGGAAGCGACTGAGAGCATGTTGCAGATGTCTTTGCTGTATTTGAAGGCCCTCCCCTTCTAACGCCAGTCTTTCTGTGGCTGTCAAATCAGACTTCCTAATGCGAAGCCTTTGAAAGGCAGGTGCTGCCTCTTGGGTTTAGCTTCACTGAGCTAAACCAGGTAGTCACAAGGGTAATTTATAAGTACCAGTTGTATCGTAGCTTCTTGAATGTCACTTTAAGGGCAGATGTAGGCTGCAGAGCTTCCTTGGGACAAGGAGAGGCACATCCAGCAATATAGAACACTGAACCACTGTGGGTTCTCAGCCACAACTCCTTGTCTCAACATCGGAAATGGTGAGGGGAAAGGCAGTGAATTCTGGTGTCAGCAAGCATGACACTGCAATGTGGCGCACATGTGGAGGAAGGTGACAGCCAAAATCTTCCTGCCATTCCCTGACTTAAAATCTTATTTAGTATATTGCCAAACCGGCACGCCCCCCCCTCTCGACAAACAGGACCTCAGTGCCCACTCACAATAGCAACTGTTGCAACACACACTTATACCACTCCTCCTGAGCTAAACTCTGCACCAACTCTGGGAAGTAGGGAGTTGCACCTAGCAGACCTCATGCAAAAACAAGTAAACCTATTTTAAAGAGGTTTGAATACTTGCATTGGGTTGGCAGCAGTGGATTCCTAGCACTATAACCACTACAGCATGCTCAGTGGCAGAACTACTGCAGTTGCAACTGGGCCCTGTCACTCCAGCCACCTGTGGATCCAGAGGGCCTGTGCAGTGCAACTGCACACTTAGGGGTTAATCAGGTGGCCCATGCTATTAGGGACACCCGATGGCAAAGCTTTTCCAGGAGCCCTGTCAGTGCTGTACATCTGTGAGGTCAGAGCTGGAAGGAAGAAACAGCCCTGGACACTTCCTCCCAGCACCCACTGAGCTGCACTGGACCTAAGGGAAGTCACCCTCCTGTACCTAAAAGGTAGGAAACAGGAGGATGACTAAACCATTTTGCATATGTCTCTGTATTTCAGTGTGTCCAATGTATCTGTCATTCTGTGTATCTGAATGTTTGTCCTTAAGTGTCTGTATTTGCAATCGTGTTGGTATCTGCAGGAGTGTCATTCTATATCTCTGCATGTGTCAATTACTCTATCTAGTACCAGAAAATTCCACAGCGCTGTACAATGGGTGTGTTATGTTGTGTTTCTGCATGTGTTTCAGTGTATGCATCTGTGTAGCTGCCCCTCCTTTTAACTCACAATAACTCCCACAATTCTGTCACTCACCTTTATTGCTCTGCCATATCCATATTCTAGCACTCACTTACCCCTCCCCAATCCTGTTACTTATTCTCTATTGGTCTGTCACACTCGCCCTATCACATTAACCCTTTCAATTCTGTCATACTCTTCTTCCCCCCCCCAAAAACATGCCACACTCTCCCTGTGAATGTGACACAAGGAGGGGAGAAGATATGATGGGACCAGGGCAATTTAGTTATGCCCCTGAGCATGCTGATGTGGTTATGGTGCTTGGAGTGTTCCTTTAACCATCACTGCTGTGATGAAATTTGTTTATTTTAACTGCCCACAGGCTAAATATCTGGCTGAGACAATGGCCTCATGGCAGTAAACTGTGCCCTGTGGCAAAAGAACTGGGTAACTACCCACGGTGGAGTCTGGTCAGTGATTCACACATAACTTTTTTTTTGTGTGCGGGGAATAAAACGTTTGTCAGTGCTACGACGGCATAGTTAAAAGACTTAAACCCAGTAGTTCACTCATGGCATGTGAATATCAGCACATTTTTTAAATATGTTATAAACAAGCTACTCTGGTAGCAATGCCTATCTAGGTAGACTGTTATATGAGAAACATTAGATTATGCAGTAGTTTAGGCTCACATTAAGTAGTTAAATTGTGAGGTCATAGCAGAGACTACAGCATAAGGTAACCGTAGTATACCTGCCAACAAACTAGGCTCAGGCTAAAACAAAACAAAAATAATAGGTCGCGCTACAAGAAAAATGAATGCAAATGGAAATAGATGAATATAATGTACTCACATACACTAAAAACATAAATAAAAAGGAGTATATAGATAATAGTCCCAATACTTGGTATGCTTCTTATGATTTCCAATGGGTATGTGAAGACTTTGATGAATGGTATATCCAATAGGAGACTGGATCCTCTAATGTTGGGGGAGTCTTGACTCGGTGATAAACATAGAAATAGGAAAACAGAGACAATCCAATAGTGCAGACTGTATACTAATAAGTAGGAATTGGAAAAATAATAGGGAGGTATTCACACACCTATTCAAGAGCATAAACTAGCTCTAGTATAATTGGTATTCAGTGGTGTCTGTCCCCCACTGGTGGGATATAGGTGTTGATAATTCCTCGGTATAGAAAAGAGATAAGAGACAAATATAGTGCTCACTGAATATAAATTAAAATAGAATAAAATGAAAGGATAAAAGTACTCACATTTGGATGAGCAGGATATACTGCTCAATATAATCACGTAGGTGGTACTATCCCCACCTAGGATTCTTGGGCAGGTGTAAATTCCAAGATAATATATGACCAGGTAAAAAGAAAAATATAGAATAAAAGGTATATGGCAAAAGTATAGGTGTTATGGACTGGGGACACTGGTACGTACCAATGTATAACAATGTATAGCATGTGCACATAGTGGGAAAGTGAACATGACACTTTTTATACTGTACATAATACACAGTGTGCAGCTTAGAATGGTGATATTGTTGTGATGTCACTCCAAGCTGTAGGTGTATCTGGGAAGTGGAAGAAGGGTATTTGCCATATACCTTTTATTTTATATTTTTCTTTTTACCTGGTCATATATTATCTTGGAGTTTACACCTGCCCAAGAATGTAGGTCCCCTAATTAAATAATGCGGGTAAGAATAGTATGAAGAATGTCCCTACAGATTTTTGTATTATGTTGAAAGGTTGCTCTGGGGCTCATTTGTTATTTTAATATTTGGTTTTATCCGTATATGTATAAATAGGGCCTTGGCATATTAAGGTAAATACATTGTAAAAGGATTACTGGAAATACTCATATTTCTCTAAACAAAGAAATTTAAAATATTGGACCACAATTGCAGAGCTCTAATAACAGCTGAGTCTTTTTTCCAGACCAGCTTTTTTTATTTTACAATATACAATTCCCTTGTCAAATCTCTACAATTTCAACTTTAGTTAATATCCTTCAATTACATTCAATTTCAGAATTTTCAACAAAGAGTTGTTCAGACTGCTGCTTGCTAGTCTCCAAGCTTAGGCACTACATTTCCCGGCATGCCTCGCTACGCTTTGTCCCTCTCTGGCCGCCGTCTCCCGGCTGTTTAGGCTCACATTGCTCCTGCAGGCTCTGTGTGTGTAGTTGCAGTCGGTAAGATGTTCCTACGCCGGGCGCTGATCGCCGGGGGCTCGGCCGCCACCACCATACTTATTGCAGCCACAGCTATTTCTAAAAGCAGGGAAGACAAGGCCGACCATTGCTCCTGCAGCCTGCCAGCTGTTACCGGGCTGTGGGACAGTAACTGGGACCGGTGAGTCTGTCTGCACAACCCCCATTACAACAGCGATGGTAACCAGCACCTCCTTATTAGTTTCTGTGTGTTCGATAGAACGTTTGGGTGTGAGACCGTGTTCCAATAGTGAATAGCACACATGGCTGTAACCTTATATTGGACACACTGGGCAGCTGTATAATAATGGGTCCTTACACTCCCTGGGGAATACCCTGCAATGGCTGCATGCTTTCAATCTCAATTGGTGATGTTATGGAGAAATACAATATCATTGTTAATCTAGGGTAATTACCTACAGTTACAAGAAAATTACCCTGGCCTTCCTCTAGATTGTAAGCTCATCTCTAGACTGGTAGCTCGTTTGAGCAGGGTCCTCACCTACCTATTGTCCATGTAACATCGTGTTATTGTCTCATTTGTTGTTAAATTTCCTCCATTTATTATATTGTAAAGTGTTGGAGCTATATAAATACTAATAATTTGAGCAGGGTCCTCCTCACCAACCTATTGTTCCTGTAACATTTTGTAATTGGTACATTTTCCTTTTTTATAATATTGGAAAGCCCTGCGGAAACAGTTGGTGCTACATAAATACCAATAATAATACTAATAAATGTCTGTATTCAGGCCCTCATTACACTAAGTATTCATGCTATTCTTTATTGTTATACAGCATCCACACATCTCCTTATTCACCCACCTTATTGCCTGCTAAGATTGGGGTGACTAGGCAGAGGGATTTTAAACTATTTGTGAAGGAGGTGTTGTATAAGATTGTATAATGTTTACTTCCTCAATACTACATTTTTCATTATAAAATAGATTTAAATTTTTTTTTTTTACCAGAACAATACAGTACAGTAATTCAATAATAATGTCTAAAAAAACAAACAAACCATTGTGCTTACTTTTTATGTGGTAGCTCTGGCACGTGTATTGTTTGTCCCTTATTTGCTCCAAAATATTCCTTTGTGACTTTTTGTTTTCCAAATGCGTTTTCTATTGAGAACGTTGGACAAATAGAAATGCAAAACGTACATTGGGTATCAATGAGTAGCTTTGTGACATTTTGTTTTTCTTTAACAAATGTTTCCACTATGGTCAGATTGGAAGGTTTTCAACTGGTAAGAAGGTTTTTTATATTGTTTTTTGGTGAGTCTATAAAAAAAAGTTCTTAAAGAAACACTAAAACAACTTTAGCTTTCTGAAGCAGGTTTTTTTTTTTTTTTTTATAGATCATGCCTCTACAGTCTCACTGCTCAATTCACTGCGTTCTACCTCCTCTGACGTCATCCGATAGGGGGGCCTAACCTGTCCTTCCAAATAGGAAAACATTGAATCAATGCTTTCCTATGGGGATTTTATGGATGCTGGATGTTTAAGGGACTCAGACTTCAGTAAACTCCCAGAAAGCACATCTAGATACTGTCAGGTACATTGCATCTAGAACACTTCAATGAGCTGTAGTGGTTTGGGTGCCTATAGTGTCCCTTTAACTTACTCTATATGTTTTTATCTTATGCACTGTAAATGGAACATCTCCTGCATGGTCTAACAAGCTAGTAACAGAGCAGGAAATAATATCTGAATTAATCAGAATTTGCAATAAAGGGAGTATAAACATTAGGTGACTTTTCTCAGGAAGTGTTTGGGAAGGTTGTGTAATTCACATGCAGGGAGGAGTGGCTAGGGCTGCATAACAAAGTGATTTAACAGCTAAATGGCAGCTAAAGCGCTAAATGGCACAGTGTTGAGCAGTGAGACTGCAGGGGCATGATCTATACACCAAAACGGCTTCATTAAGCTAAAGTTGTTTTGGTGACAACAGGGTCCCTGTAAAACTGCAAATGTGCCTCCCCCTCCGCATAATTACTATTTATTTATTTTTTTAATTTTTTTTTGCCCTCTTAATTTTGTGAAAATTCCAATTTTTAATAAAGTATTTGGTTGTAATTGTTTGAACTATAATGAGCAAATCAGTGATGGAAAAACAGTTGCCAAAAGGGAATGAAAAGTTGAAGAGATGGATTATTTTGGCGCACTACAGGAGACTGGGGACACTGGTACGTACCAATGTATAACAAGAGGAGTAACAGTTTTATACAAAAAAAAAATGAAGCATGTGCACATAGTGGGAAAGTGAACATGACACTTTTTATACTGTACATAATACCCAGTGTGCAGCTTAGAATGGTGATATTGTTGTGATGTCACTCCAAGCTGAAGGTGTATCTGGGCAGTGGAAGAAGGGTACAGGTATGTTGTAAAACCAGTACAATAGATGTGTATGTATGTAAAAAGTAACAGATCAACATATATTAATTCTTATGAATTTCCATAACACCCATCACTTTTATTTAATTTCTAATTGCAATCTGTTTACTTTCTATTCCTTGTGCAGTTAAAGAAAAGGAAGTTCTTTAGCAGCCAATTTCTTATGCACAATCAGAAAGCATAAAAATGATTCATACAATGTGTTGATCTTAGAAGCTGTACACACAACTCTCATTATCAGATTTCTGAGTGTATGCAATGTCAACAACCAAACTTTTGTTATTCGTTATATCCATCACGGAATATTGGAAAATTGTGATATAGTTATCCTTTCCACACTGAAAGACTAACCGCTAAATTAAAGGGTCCAAGGTATATTTTTGACATATTGATGTTACATTGTTTTGTTTTTTAAAAAAAGCACATTTGTGTAAAGCAAAAAATGCTGTGATGTAATTTGCAAAACCCACCTCTCATCTTAGTACTTTACTCTTTATGCATCCTGAATAATTCTGCTTTACTGAATTGCTATTAACCCTTTCAACACAGCTAAAATGAAGACCTCCTGTGTAAACTGTAATGATTTTGGTGTGTCCTCTTTAATTGCTTGACCCACAGTGAAAGGCAACAGCATGTAATTATTTCTCTCCCCTCTCCCCCCTCCTTTTTTCATATAGGCGTGAGCCACGATCACTCATGAATCTAAATAAAATCAATGGAGAGACTGGGGAAGAGGAACTTCAGTTAAACAAGTATAAGGCCAAAGCTACCAGGCACATCTTCCTTATCCGACACTCACAGTACAACTTAAATGGCCGTTCAGATTCCGAGCGGGTTCTCACTCCTCTGGGTATGTGATTAATAGCCCATTTGATACAATCGTGTCTGAGCACATCTCCAATATAACCAGGCCATATTCTGGTTACTGTGTAAATGTGCAGATTTGTGGGGAAAGGTGTTGAGGGTTGTGGATTGATGCCTAGTTCCAGGTACTGTGCAGGCAGAATTCAGTTTTTTTTTCTTTTGCCTCATGTTTAACCCTTCAGGGGCGGAACTACTGTCAGTGCAGCCAACCCATGGCCCACAGATTTTTTTAAATTTTTTTTTTTTTTTTTTTTAATTTTTTTTTTTTTGAAGGGGGTATTTAACCTGTCAGATCAGCTATTCCTCTGTAGGTAGCTGTGCTCGGAGTAAGTGACTATACATTAGTTTCTCATGCTGCAGTCTCATGGAAGAGTTGCCTCCTGGATTGACCACCCTTAAAGGGACACTCCAGTGCCAGGAAAACAATCTGTTTTCCTGGCACTGCAGATCCCTTCTCCCTCCCACTTCCCATCCCCAGTTGCTGAAGGGGTGAAAACCCTTTCAGTCAGTTACCTGAGACCCCTGCCGATGTCCCGCACGCGCATTAGAGCTCTCCATTGGAAAGTATTGAAAATGCTTTCCTATGGGGAACTGAGCGAAGCTGGAGGAAACCTGTGCTATAGACACGGAAGTGCCCTCTAGTGACTGTCTAGTAGACAGCCACTAGAGGAGGAGTTAACCCTGCAAGGTAATTATTGCAGTTTATAAAAAAACTACAATAATTACACTTGCAGGGTTAAGGGTAGTGGGAGTTGGCACCCAGACCACTCAATGGGCAGAAGTGGTCTGGGTGCCTGGAGTGTCCCTTTAATGCCCTCATTTGAGCATCTCTGTCAGAGGCCTGATTAAGTGCCATGGCCACTGGACTGTGCGTGTGTTAGTACAGCTGTTCCAATGTGTGGTACTGTGCAGGCATGCATTACTTCATCTTATTGTGTACACAGCTGGGAAGGATATTAAGTGACTGAGAGAGCTTGGACCAACCTCGACCATCTTCCACTGGGCCACAGCATTCTTTAACCTGCTCCAGCAAGCTCCAACCTGTCCCAGTAAACACAATGGACCACAAGGATGTCACCCTTCAGTATCCAAAAGATATGTAAACGGGGGTGGCTGGTAATGTGTATCTTTATATAATTTCCCACATTGACTCACAGCTCCACTACATAAATGCATTATCACATTCATATACTGTGTGTATGTATGTACAGTCATGGGAAATGAAAGTGCACCCTCTTTGAGTTCTATGGTTTTACAGATTAGGACATAACAATCGTATGATATGTCAAACAATAGAATCCATGAGTGTGTACTTTCATTTTCCCATGACTTTGCATGTGTGTGTTTTTGTATAATCTCTAAAATAACGAGTATTGCAGTATTTTTTTATATATTAAACTAACCAACCGAATATTTAGAAGACCAGCTTTCGATTGCTTTCTTCTCTTTCTCAGGTTTTCATATTGATCAGTATTGCTTCTGACCTGATGAATAGAAGGAAAACACTCAGAAGCTTGTCTTTTAAATATTGTTAGCCCAATTTAAAAAAAAAAAAAAAAAGGTGGTGGTGGGGTGGGGGGAGATGTGTGTGTATAGATATAAAGAGAGAGAGCACGAACCAAGGAGAACAAGACAAGAGAGAGAAAATGGTAGGCCTCTGACAGACTGCACTATGCTGCGTGTCACTAATAATTTAAATAACTTTTACTGTACAGTTCATAGCGAAAGCTCAGTTGCCCATTCCCCACCATTGTCTTTAAAATTCTCCCATCACTGTTGCTGAGACCTAAAACACTCATGTGGTGGCTAGTTGAAAAGTTGTGAAGCTTCAAACTGCAGGACTGGGGCTGTGACTCTGAGGACTGATCTGATCCTGATTTCAATGTGTTTTAATCTGTAATGATTGTTGATTCTGTTACCATGTCACCTACTTCTTGGCTCCATATTACCATTGCAGATTAATTATATTCCCACCTTAATAAGACTTCTATCAGTATCCTGCTGCTTTAACATTGATCTGATAGCTAATAGTGCGTCAGGAGTAACGGACATATTCCAAAGCAGCAGCAACACATTTACTAGAAAACTAAAGTTGTCATAATAGAGGATGGATAAATCTGATCAGTATTACAGTCAATTTATTTTGTCTGGAAAGTAGATTATTATTATTTTTTTTTTTAAAGTTTTTTTATTTTTATTTTATTTATTTATTAATTACAGTTTCCATGCCCCTGATTATTTTAGTCTTGCATTAAAAAAAAAAAAAAATTATCCCGAAGAATCTTGAAAATCTAGAAACCATGCAGGTGATAAATTGCTTCTGAATATGGCCTGCATAAACTAAACTCCATTTTTTGGTAAGCTTAAAGGACCACTCTAGGCACCCAGACCACTTCAGCTTAATGAAGTGGTCTGGGTGCCAGGTCCAGCTAGGGTTAACCCATTTTTTCATAAACATAGCAGTTTCAGAGAAACTGCTATGTTTATGAATGGGTTAAGCCTTCCCCTATTTCCTCTCATTGACAGCCGCTAGAGGCGCTTGCGTGCTTCTCACTGTGATTTTCACAGTGAGAGCACGCAAGCGTCCATAGGAAAGCATTATGAATGCTTTCCTATGTGACCGGCTGAAGGCGCGCGCATTCAGCCGACGGGGAGGAACGGAGGAGGAGAGCTCCCCGCCCAGCGCTGGAAAAAGGTAAGTTTTAACCCCTTTACCCTTTCCAGTTTAACAACAGCCAATGATTTATTCATTGAAAGGAATGGTGAAAATTAAGAAAAGTGGACTGCATATTTTAAGTCAAAATAAGCCACCCCTCTCCTCCCACCCCAATTTTGCCAGAAATGTGCCTTGTGAATTCTCCACATTTCCTGGTTAAGTTAATGCTAACTTTTATTAAAGTTTGGCTAAGTACCCACACAGTTGACTGTAGAGATATTACTGTGACATGCTATGTGGCTGCATTGAAATTGTCACATAGCTTGTGTATTTTTACCCAATTCGGACTATAAAGTAGGAGCAATCTTTTGTCTTATGATCTGCAGGATGTGAACAAGCAGAGCTGACAGGAAAACGCCTGGCAAGTTTAGGACTGAAATATGACCAGATCATTCATTCTTCCATGACCAGAGCCAAAGAGACAACCGAAATCATCAGCAAATATCTACCAGGTGAAGGCAATATAAAATGCCAAAATTGAATATGTCTGTATTTACATTCTGGAACAGGGAATTTATAGAACCATTTTTTTTCTTTTTGTAAAGACATTGAATTTTTCAAAGGTCTTACTAAGGAATTGCACTAGCAACTGTTAGCCTGCCCGCCTGAAGCAAGATTTCTCTATTTATCGTTTTAGTGATTTTGACAAGTATCGCTACGTCTTGCATGTCTCAGTAAAGGGAGGTCTGTATTCTGAAACGTTTCAGAACCATATGTTGCTTTCTGAATCGTTCCGTAGATCACAGAAGAAAAGAAAACCCATATCGGTTATAAATCGAAGTCTATACAGTGCAAGAATAGATTGGTTAAAAAAAAAAAAAAAAAAGACAGAATATTTGTATTTATTTTGTAACTGCTTTTAATTCTGTGTTACTTTTCTTTTCAGAATAAATAAATGCAGGTCTGTCATTTTTATATAATATTATTTTGTTAAGTCTTTTCTTTACCCTTGGAACTTAACATAATGAGCAGAAGTGACACGTTCTTTACATTTTGCTCTATGGGACATACAACTCCATGACATGAAAAACAAATGCCCCAGTTCTTTGTAGGTCCACAGAATCACTGACCATGCCCCTGCAACAGTTTTTCTGCAGAATCATGGTATAACAGGAGAGAATTGTACTTCATTTTATAACTCTGCAAAGTGGGTGGCAATACTGGATATGTGCAGTCTGCCACACATTTAACACTTACAACAATTAATTTATACATTGTGCTTACAAAACTGCAAAAAGGGAATATTGGCTGAAAACCTATGAAATGCATATGTGTTTGTGTAGATAGTGCCATTTTCACATGGTATTAATTTTTACTCGATATAGGTGTGACAAAAAAGAGCACAGACATGCTTCGCGAAGGTGCTCCCATACGACCAGAGCCTCCAGTCTGTCATTGGAAGCCAGATGTTGTGGTAAGAGTTGTCCACAGCTCCCAGAAGTTTTAACCTGTTAAATCATGTTTGCTTAAAGAACATTACTTATGCACTGTGCTGTAATGATCCAGGATGAGGTGCTGGTATGTGTCGGGCAAATAAAATTGTTCTTGTTGGTAATTTTATTATCTTTAGCAGTATTATGAGGATGGAGCTCGCATTGAAGCAGCATTTAGAAACTTCATTCACCGTGCAGAACCTAAGCAGGAAGAAGACAGTTATGAGATTATAATCTGCCATGCCAATGTCATTCGCTACATAGTATGCAGGTAACAAGATACTCCACATTCTCTTACGATGTTACTAGAGTATTGCTTTCATGGGATTGTTCAGCACTAAATTTGAATGTGGATGTTCATGTAACAATGTCATTGAATCTCATTGCAGTCATATTTACCTGTGAGAGTCAGTTTTAGATTTCATAAACAAATGGAAAAAGTCTCATTTATATGTGTTTTAGTTCTTATCCTTAGTTGAGTATGATGCATAAATTTAATAATTTTGGAATTGGTTATTGAAAGATGGTGTAACTTTTCTAAAGTCCACCCATTCAACTTTGGATGGATGGATATATATATATATATATATATATCTATCTCTCTATCCAATCAGATTTGCACAGTTATCACACGTCGTTACTATATTACACTCATTTAGACTGATTTAATCCCTCTCTTTTCTGAAGCTGCCAGGATATCAGTCTAAATGAGTTTAATATAGAAGAGAGTGATTAAATCAAAGGTGACCAGGATAATTATATAAATCATTTATAATTTAACTGTGAAATACTCTAACGTTAAAAGCAGTTTTATTGTTTTTACCAAAGTGACTAATTGATTTTAAATATATCTCTGAGAATTCAAGGATGAAGTACCAGAAGTTGCTTGTGGCTGGATGACAACTCATAATCAAAGTTTAGCTAAAATAGCTGTGGGGCGATGTTCAGCTGGAATATTTTGGCGTGTTGGTAGTCTTCCTGGGCACTTATTTTACCAGACATCAAGCAAACCTGATTTCCTATGTCAGTAATACTTCTTTTCTTGCACAGGGCATTACAGTTACCTCCTGAAGCCTGGCTCCGCATGTCCCTTAATAATGGCAGCATCACCTACTTAGTGATCCGTCCCAGTGGTAACGTGGCTCTGAGATTACTTGGGGACTCTGGCTTCATGCCTCCTGAAAAAATCACCCGGACTTGATGCAAGCCCTCTCGCTATACCCTACAGCGTCCTCACTGCCAGCCCTACAGATACCAGTGTGACATCTGGTGCTGCACCACAACTTACCAGCTCCGTACCCTCTCTGTGCCTTCTCCTAGGGTTAAATCTTCTTTTAAGCAGGGGGTGGACACTTCTTTTTACTGTAATCTTTTGAAGGCATTAATATATTTTTAATTATTTATTTTACACTGCTTGAGTATGGAAGCACAAATTCATCCCAAATGAGTTTTTTTTCCTTTCTATAAAAGGTTTCAACGTTTATTACGTACGTATTGTCCTGGTAAAGTGATAGTTTGGTCTATTACTCTCTCTTTTTAATGGAATAACGTGAATGATGGATATTTTAAAAACTGTGAATACAGTTGTACACTTTTTTTTGTTTAAACTGTGTTGTATTCATGTAGTAGTACAAATGAGTTTTTTAAGACTTCTCTTTTGGCTGATGTACCAAGCTATATTAAACAGTACATGTTTGCATGTTATTTTGATTTTTGGGGATACAAAGGAAAGATAAGACCACAATTGACCACAGCAGTATTTGTAACTAGATATCTGAAATAGTGCTTCCTTATAAACGAACACCATTGGCCGTAGGAAGAACTGTTCATAATTAATTAATACCAGCATAGCTCTATCTTCTGCAGGTCAGAGTGTGGATGGTTACATCCACTGCTGTGTATCGTTAAAGCAAATTGTCCCAGTTCTGCAGGCAGTCTAAATTTTGGAGAAAATGTCTCAGAAAACGTGGTTACTTTGTCAATAAATGCCTTGAAATTTTCTGCTAATAAAGATCTCTTCAACAGTACAGATGCAAGTGTTTGACAATATCAAAGTGATGTCAGGTTTGTAATGAGCCTATGTTTGCTCCCTCACTGCTGTCCATGTGCAGCGTTTCCCCCTAGACATGAATGCATTCATACTGAACAGCTTTTTATTTAGGTGCCTATTCATATCTACGGAAGAAGGAAGCATTTTATATCAAAACAGTTTGTGGAAACACTGGACATCAATAGAGGTGTTTGCTGCAAATTTTTTTATTTCCATGCCTTGGTTGGTAGCTTACATTCTCGAGTACCCCTAAAAGGTATTTTCTTAGTAAAACAGGTGCTTTAATTACAGAGGTCTTTTGCTAAATGCCAAATTTGCTAATTCTTATATTGCTCAATTTGCCTGCATTCAGTTGATACATATTTTGAGCTTTAGTGAAGTCATAAAAAATTGGATTCTAACTTAATTGAGATAAATGCATCCTGTTGCTGCCCTGAAATTCATTTGAAAATAGCTTAATTGTATTGCACTGCTGAAAGGGGGGGGAGGGGAGATGCTAAGGAAAGATTTATGGTTGGGTTATTTTTTTTATAGAAGTAATGAAGGTTGGTGGTAACATGATGGAGCGGAGAGCTTAGAGTTATAGCTGCAATTTCCCTGCCCTGGTCTTTATCTGGCTAATTGATCCAACCAGACAAAATAATTTTCAATTTGACTCTGTGAACAGCAAAATCAGTCAACTGCAGCTGAATGGAATTGTACACTTGTTTGATATAACTGAATTTTATGTGTGTATACTTTTTACTCCAAGACATCCCTTGCTTTGTATAAAATGGAATGAATATATGTAATATTGTAATTCTTCATGGTTGTGATTAGGGTTGCACCGAAAATTCAGGATGTCCTTGGCCAAAAACCGAAAATGACCGTTTTCCCGCAAATGACTTAAATTTTTTTTTCTTCCTATAATTTTATTAGACTTTTTAATGAATTAATTTAATATGAAAAACTTCTCTTTTAGTTCCCCCCCATAGCGTTCTTTCTTTCCCCACCCACCCTCCCCTGTCCCATAGTGTTCTTTCTCTCCCCCCACCCTCCCCTGTCCTATAGTGTTCTTTCTCTTCCCCCCCCCCTCCCTCCCTGTCCCATAGTGTTCTCTTTCTCCCCCCCCACCCCCCTCTGTCCCATAGTGTTCTTGGTGGTGTATGTATGTATGTATATATACATACATTTTAAACGGTACTTTTTACTTTTTTACCCCAAGACATCCCTTGCTTTGTATAAAATGGAATGAATATATGTAATACCGAAAATTCAGGATGCCCTTGGCCAAAAACCGAAAATGACAGTTTTCCCGCAAATTATTTAAAAAAATTTTTTTCTTCCTACAATTTTATTAGACTTTTTAATGAATTAATTTAATATGAAAAACTTCCCTTCTCTTTTAGTTCTCCCCCGGCCCCATATAATGTTCTTTTTCTTTTTCTCCCTCCCTGCGGGACCTATAGTGTTCTTTTCTCTCCCCTCCCCCGGCCCCATATAGTGTTCTTCTTTCTCTTCCCCTCCCCGCCCCATATGTTTCCCTTTCTCCCCTCACCTGTCCCAGACAGTGTTCCTTCTCTTCTACCCCGCCCCACCCTCCCTGAAGTCCCAGTGTTCGCTCTTTCTCCCTCCCCTACCCCTGTCCCATAGTGTTCTTTCTCTCCCCCCCACACTCCCCTGTCCCATAGTGTTCTTTCTTTCTTCCCCCGTCCCATAGTGTTCTTTCTTTCTTTCCCCCCTTCCCTGTCCCATAGTGTTTGTTCTCTCTCCGAATACCTGAGACCACCGAAACATGTGTACCGACCTGTCAGAAACCTCCTGACCAATCTAAAGCAGGGAATCGAGTGAGGGAGACTCCCGGCGGACTAGGCATCAATCTAGTGCACATGGTGGACTCATGTCTTATGTTATACTATGCTTAGTCCCTACGTTGATATAACTCGCTCTTAAACCTTTCTCTAAGCCTTGACAAATCTGCATGTTTTACTGCATTACTCTTTCTTTACTGGTACTTCAACCTCTCAAACTCATACTGACACTTAACCAGCTTTCCTGCTTATTACTACTTAAAAATATGTGCTAGGATTCACAATGTCATGCCTATGTTATAACTTTATATGAAAGCGCCTGTCTCTGCTGTCATGGCATTGTAGGCACTACTGTTCCTCTATGCACAACCAAAATAAAAAATAAAGAATTATAAAATTCAATTGTATTGGCAACAGTTAATAGGCCACAAAGTAAAAGGTAAGACCTTTTTTTGTAACACCCTGTCAGATATTGTTGGGCTGGCCTAATTAGTTTTTAGGTATTAACAAGCAGAAACTTCTGAATTCCTTTTAAATGAAGCGAACACTCCCAACACCTACCCTTTGGAAAAATACTTTAAAGGATCACTCTAGGCACCCAGACCACTTCAGCTTAATGAAGTGGTCTGGGTGCCTGGTCCAGCTAGGGTTAACCCATTTTTTAATAAACATAGCAGTTTCAGAGAAACTGCTATGTTTATGAATGGGTTGGGTTTTCCCTCAAAGTTCTAAAGGCCAGTCCTATTGACACATTAGATATGTTATGCGTTTCTCACTGTGATTTTCATAGTGAGAGTACATTAGCGTCTATAGAAAGCATTGTAAATGCTTTTCTTATAGAGATCGGCTGAACACATCTTGTGCCTTTGCCACAGTAAGCATTCAGTCGGCGCTTAACGGAGGAGGAGAGGAGGCAGAGAGCTCCCCGCCCAGCGCTGGAAAAAGGTAAGTTTTTACCCCTTTCCCCTTTCCAGAGACGGGCGGGAGGGGGACCCTGAGGGTGGGGGCACCCTCAGGGCACTATAGTGCCAGGAAAACGAGTATGTTTTCCTGGCACTATAGTGGTCCTTTAATACCGACCATAGTTCAATGGGTAGATAGAGTCGAGAACATAAGAGTGATGGAAGAACTACACGGAGCAGCAGTCAATAAAAAAACAAAGACACTCCAAAGTATGGGAACCTTGGACTAATTATTGGAACACGGGGACAGGGAAGTAGGGGTTGTGTGAATCTAAAATTTTTAATGGAAATATAATCTAGTCAACTGGGACAAATTGAGATACAAAATGATAGATATCATTAATAGAGTATTAAGAAGGATCTTATAAGAACCACAGCCAAATTAGGACTTAGCATTAATTTTTGCTCTTCGTTTTCTCTTTTTCTCCCTCTTTTTGCAGTCAGAGATCTCCAAGGGACACCGGCAATCTACAAACTAGGATTTCTGTTTTTTTGATTATCGAGTTAAGAGAAGAGAATTAGATTGATAGAAGAGTGAAATTAAATTTTTTGTTTGTTTATCGTTCGTTTATAATTTATTGTCTCTACTCCTGGGTTACCATGAATTTGTCTTAAGAATGAGATGATTCTAAAGATGAGTAATATGATGAGATAATGTAAAATGTTCACATAAATACTCCATCAGCTCCAAGTACGAGGAGACAGGTTTACCGGACACCTGACACGCATGAACACTGGACTTCCCAGACGCATGTTGTAGATGCGGAACCGGCACCACACTACACATTTGGTGGAGCTGCCCTGTCATAGCCCCCTTCTGGTCAATGGTGCACACAAAGATTCAACAAATGAAGACACCGAACTACCATTCCATCCACTCCCCATGCTACTACACCACACGGACATCGCACTAAAACCATATAAGAAATCACTGACGAAACACCTACTAACAGCTGCAAAATCCCTAATACCAACATTATGGAAGCAAAGAGGGGCACCCACCTTCCAGCAATGGGTGGATAGGAAAAGAGAAATCTATGACATGGAAACCCTAACTGCAACCCTACAAGACAGGCTGGAGAAATGTACCCGAACTTGGAGACTGTGGCTGATGTTCCTCTTGGAGGGCGAGGTTATGAATACACCATACCCCCCCTCCCACCCACCTAGACTACAATACACCCCTCCTGTAGGGGGAGGACACTAGATAATTGATACATATACTAGTTCAAAACGTAAGCCACGATAGACACACGCCTAGCCCTTGGTGCCAACCTGACTACCATTGCTCAGCTCTTTATCTTCTCATTTCTTACAGCTAGTTGACCTACAAATGCCTCAGCTGCTACGCCACAGTATACACCAGCAATACGCAGAGGCCCCTGAGCGAAGCCTCTAACTTCTGAGGCTATTTGGCTGCGGTTGACATCACTAATACGGACATTGGATCCTTACGCCAGCACATAGGCAGTCCGACCTCAGTTTCCTAATTAGCAAGCTGCCCACACACCCCAGTAACTAAGGTAATACACACCCGGACAGCCCAACCATTCTTAGCACGTCACCGCTCTGTAATTACTCTTATATGTTAACTACAAGTTTACTGGAACGCTATTACTGTTCTGTTGCGGTCACAATGCTACTAAACATACACAACGATATTAATGCCATGCGCACCCTGATGAACCTGCGTACTTCAATTTCTTTGTTATTAACACGCTTTGACAATGTTTGTGTATACTATATTTGTGAGAAAGAAAGAAAACTCCATGTAAAGAGAGCTCTTCTGTTAGTTGGAAAAAGAAAAGAAATTTAGAAGCTCAGAACACGTTTGTCCTCTACCAGTTCCAGAAAAAAAAGAATGTATGGTTTCCAATGGATCCAGATAGATTAACGAAGCAATGTCACTGACCTACAGTGCCTAAAACCTGCCTCCTCCTCTGCATCTTAAAGCTCATTTAACCAGAGCAGTTTCTATCTGTTGGGCATCAACAGTTTTTGCTTCTCAAGCACATATTTACAAAGCTGTCATTCGATGCATACCTTTTCACCATTACAGATTAAACATACAGGATTCTGAGGATATTTTTGGATGCAAGGTGCTTCAATCAGTGGTGAAGTGCGGATTTTCTCGATCTATGGGATTGCTGGTTTATCCCTAAAAATGTCCTCTCTGCCATTTGTCAGGAGATGCTGATATCCTTAATGTTGCACTGCCTCTATTCATAGGGAAACATTTTTGTCTCTCACATACAATAGGCGCGACAAAAATAGATACATAAAAATGGTTAAAAAGGACATGCATCCCTTTGAACCAACTACCTAATTCAGAGGCTTTCCTTTTAAATTAGACAGTTGTCTCATTTTGCAGGCAGAGAAAGCAGGAAAAAAAATGTCTCCCCCTCCATCTCTCTTTCATACCCAACTGCTTCTTCTTCCACGCTTTTAACATGCCTACCTTACTGGGGACACTGATCGTGCCAATCTGTGTCCTCTCTTCTAATTTTAGAAAAGTCTTGCCCATGTGCGACTAAGTTGCACACGTGCAAATGTAAGATCTCATGCTAGTGAGGGTTTAAGTATTTACCTGCTGACCGCTAGTGCTGCCAGCAGGCAAACAGTGCTTCAAATGATCACTTGCAAAAAGTAAATGAATGTTAAACGGAATGCATCCAGCATGATGCACATTTGCACATTATCTTTAGCCATCATGCGGGCATTGAGAAGTCTCCATCCTTTACTTTACATAGTTACATAGCTGAAAAGAGACTTGCGTCCATCAAGTTCAGCCTACCTCACATTTGTTTTTTGCTGTTGATCCAAAAGAAGGCAAAAAACCCCAGTTTGAAGCACAATTTTGCAACAAGCTAGGAAAGAAATTCCTTCTTGACCCCAGAATGGCAGTCAGATTTATCCTTGGATCAAGCAGTTATTACCCTACATTGAAAGATTATATCCTTGAATATTCTGTTTTTGCAAGTATGCATCTAGTAGCTGTTTGAACATCTGTATGGACTCTGATAAAACCACTTCTTCAGGCAGAGAATTCCACATCCTGATTGTTCTTACAGTAAAAAAACCTTTCCTTTACCTTAGACGAAATCTTCTTTCTTCCAGTCTAAACGCATGGCCTCGTGTCCTATGTAAAGTCCGGTTTGTGAATAGATTTCCACACAATGGTTTGTATTGGCCCGAATATATTTGTATAATGTTATCATATCCCCTCTCAGGCGACGTTTTTCTAAACTAAATAGGTTTAAATTTGTTAACCTTTCTTCATAGCCGATATGTTCCATTCCTTTAATTAGTTTTGTAGCCCCCCTCTGCACTTTTTCTACATTGATTTGGATACGAAAAATCGCTAATTTCCTGAATGAATGTTACAGAATCCGACGCGCAGTTAGCATTAGTAAATCTGCTTATTGTCAATGCATTCGGAATACAGTCATTTTCACTGGATTTTGGCAATTCAGAAAAAGATTTGTGGTTTAGTGAATAACCCGGATAGTTCGTCATGCATGGTTTAGTGCTAGTTCATGGGAAACGGAGATAAGTGGATTACTAGGTGGGAGAGAGACAGACAAGAGAGGTAAACTGACGTGCCTTGCTGGAGTTTCTTCAGACAGAGCAAAATGAAAAAGTAATAAACTTTGTCAAATTTTTTTGGCTTTACTGAGTGTATTTGTTTGTTAGTTAAAAATAAATAAAATTGTAAAGCGTTGCATGTACCTTTAAATAGTTTGTGTAGAGAAATAAAGCCATTACCGGCGGCTCCACAGCACAAAAACCCATCGGGGTGCACCACAGAATCGGAGGAAACCTTGACGGGGCCGGAGGCCCGACACGCGACTTGCGGGGGTTGGAGCCAGGGAACGGCGGCCGCTCTCTTTGCTGCCAGACCCCCCAGAATTAATAAAGATCTCCTACATCCCCCCCCCGGACCGGTGGGGGTCATCCCGGTCCCTGCCAGACAAGCAGATAAAGTTTGAAGCGGAGAAACGCGGCTAAACAGTTGGCTGAGACACAGGTGTGTCAGAGCATGCCTAAAATGGCTGCCCAGCAAGGGCCAAAGAGGGAGCACACAGACAGCTACCCACACTCGCAACACCTGGAAGCCGTGGACCGACTTTGCTCGAGTCTATACGCGACACTATGTGACAGGGGAGTGTTTTACCTTCAAGCGGCTCAGATGGTGGCCTCATGGATCCGTCCTGAGACCCGCCGACGCCACTACGGAGTTCCACTGCAGGCCTTCGGGGTGGACAAGCGGCCCAAAAAGCACCGGCGGGTGAGGGACTGGAGCAAACTGGGTGCATGCAACCACTCACGTATAAATAAGAGTGGGACAGCCAAGCAGCCACAAAGCCCCAGCAAAGCACCTGGACACAACACCTTAGGCCAGCAAGCCAACACTCTGCAATCATGGTCTACAGCAACCTACCAAGCCATAGCACAGCTTACTGCCGAAAGCAACCAAGCCAGAGAGGGGCCCATAACCTCCCCAGTCGCAGAGACTGTCTATCCCAAATGGCCCATGAGCGGGGTCGGCTGATCCAGGACTGGTACTTCCGTAATTCCGTAAGGGGCATTGGCGGACATTACAGACCCAAGAAAAAAAACAAAAAACGTACATTGTTATAACTTGTTTATTTAGACGTACTACCACCTTACACCTAGCAGCCTAATGCCTGAGGCCACATCTATACACTAGACGACAGGCCTACCGCCGTTAATATTCACTGCACTCGGTAATAAAGTTCGGTAATAGCTTGCAACCCAACATTATAATCATATATGCATATCTACCCTAATAACACGTTATTCACTGCATAGAAAAGCTTGATCAAAATGATAAACATGTATTTTATCAGTTGCAGCATTGTTATGCTTAATGTACCTGTCTTACTTAAGGTTCAATACTACTTATGTTTTACTACAACTTGTTTTCACTTTAAATATAAAAAAACGTGCAAAAGTCTCTAAATACCCCCATTGTCACAAATGTTACTGGTATAAGCGAGTGGAATGCCTTTGGGGTACCACAAGCATGTATGTTCAACCTAAATGCACAGGAAAAATAAAGAATTTAAAAAATATATATAGTTTGTGTAAAGGCATTTATTTGCAAGGACCCTGAAAACATTGCTAGCAGTACACATAATAAACATGGCAAAAGAATGTAAAACGAATGTATGCATTTGAATAGGATTCAACTGCATTTTAAAATATCTAAAATGTATTAATCTCTAGAAAGCTAATATAATGCTAACAGGGTAATGGTAGTCCATTCACACCCCCTGCCTAACAGTAGGCATGGCATGATCCATTGTACGGCTTGCAAGATTGAAATTAGGAGGTGATCTGACATTTTCAGCAGACACTAGAATAAGTGACCAGTGGCTTTTGGCAGAAATCTGTTCTACAGAATAGTAGTCATTACCAACCTATCAAAGAGGATGTGATGCTTTATGGACTACATTTTCATTCTGCAAAATTCATGAAATTAAAATGTTTATACTCAATTATGGCAGTAAAGTAATTAAAGTAAAGTTATAGATATGTATTAAATAGCTTTTAAGCTTGCAAACGGTTTGACACCACCAAGCTTTGTACAGTGCAGGAGCTTCAGACTTAAAAAGGAACTGATCAGGCCACAAGATGTCAAACCGCTTGACAACAGCTGTACTATTTACCCTAGGAGGGTTCCAGGGCACTTCTGGCGCCAAAACTACTGCAGCAGGTTGTAGTGGTTTTTGTACTTGGAGTGTTATTTTAATAAATTAAAATATGAGCTATTAATAGTATTAAAAAGGGAAGAAATCCTTCATTGCATAACGAGGCAAATCAAATGGTTAGCAAATGGTCGTAAGGAGTTTAGTTCACCCAACCAGGTAGGCAGGCATGTGATCAGTTAGCAAATGGTCATGACAGATCTAGGTTTGCACTTTAATATCACCCACAAGCCTTAAGGATACACAGATGCTTCTATTAAAAGAACTATTGTCTTGAAACAGAATAGTTAAGAGGGTGGAGTCCCTGGGCACTATCTTAAGGAGTTAAACGATTTTTTCAACAGTAACCCCAAGCTGGGGCCCAACACCTGCTGACCTGATTCCTGCACTCCATCCTATTCTTCTGCCTAGGTGGTGGTAATGGTCTGAGAGTGTCAACTCTTCACTAGGTACTCTTTGAGAGTTATCATGATCAAGTTATTATGCCATAAGGGCCATCAATTGCACTCTGGGTAGTCCACCCTTTTTTGTTCCTTTTCATAGGTTTCAATTTGAACGTTTACTCGACTATCCTCTGCCTTTTCATAGGTTTCAATTTGAAAGTTTACTTGACTATCCTCTTGACTATCCTCTGCCTTTCCTGTGTTGTATCACCGCACCAATAACCATACCAATGGACACACAACAGTAGCACAAAGTTTCCACCACCCCATTCCCAAAAACAAAAGTAAACACAAGTAAGTCCCTCACTCCAAATGATATGGCATTATTATTCATATTTCACACACACATTCAAAAGTACGATATCAGTTGGAGGAAGAGACCTGTACACACTGCTCTGGTCAATTTCTAGAACTTAAGCCATGCAGAACTTGAGAGTAGCAACAGACGTCATTCTACCCGATAAACTATCTGATAAATCAGATTAGCCTCAATTCCTTTTTGGTTCTATTAAGCATTTAATAAATGATATTCATATTTGCGCTTGCTGCATATGGTCTTCATTTAGAGCAGGACAGATTTGTACAAAATACAAGAGAGTATGACACCTTAATAATAAAAAGACACTAGTCACCAGAAACACTAAAGCTTAAAGGACCACTATAGTGCCAGGAAAACATACTCAGGGTCCCACTCCCGCCCGGCTCTGAAAGGGGGTAAAACTTACCTTTTTCCAGTGCTGGGCGGAGAGCTCTCCTCCTCCGAGTCGGCTGAATGCGCACGCGCGGCAAGAGCTGCGCGCGCATTCAGCCGGTCACATAGGAAAGCATTCATAATGCTTTCCTATGGACGCTGGCGTGCTCTCACTGTGAAAATCACAGTGAGAAGCACGCAAGCGCCTCTAGCGGCTGTCAATGAGACAGCCACTAGAGGAAATAGGGGAAGGCTTAACCCATTCATAAACATAGGAGTTTCTCTGAAACTGCTATGTTTATGAAAAAATGGGTTAACCCTAGCTGGACCTGGCACCCAGACCACTTCATTAAGCTGAAGTGGTCTGGGTGCCTAGAGTGGTCCTTTAATGTAGTAGTCCTGGTGTCTATATCCTGTCCCTGCAGACTCTGCAATGTAAATGCCGTCTATTCAGAGACAAGCCCGTGTTTACATTGCTGCCTAGTAACACCTCTTGGTGCAGTCACTAAGACAGCCACTAGAGGTTCTTCCTATTTCAGTGCTGCATCGCACTTACAGCAGGGCCACCTGCAGCGTGACCAACGCAGCAATGAAGGAAAGCTACTATTTTACTTAATTCCAAGTTGGGCTATGACCTAAACTTGTACTCCAACACTTAAGAGTGTTAGAAATACAGGTTTGCTTTAAAGCGGTCCCCCCCCAACCAATTACATTATGAAAGATTGATGATTAGACAAGTCAGGAGTTCATAGTCGACTCAACAACTGCAAGGATGCCAGGTCCTGTGGCTGCAAAACAAGCCAAAATCATCATCCCTCCACTACCATACTTGACAGTAGTTTTGCAGACATGCTGTGTTTGGCCATAACGCGCAGCACCATGTTTGGTGAAAAACCTCCACTTTGGTCTTGTCCAAGGGACGTTGTTCCAGAAGTTTTGGATTGTTCAGATGCAACTTACCAAAGTTGTGCTGCCATGTTGTTTTTAGAGAGAAGAGACTTTCTCCTGGCAACTCTTCCAAACAAGCCATACTTATTCACTCTTTTTCTAATTGTACATGAACTTTAAAGGAACACAATAGGGTCAGGAACACAACCATTTATTCCTGACCCTACAGTGCAAAACCCACCATTTAGGTGGCTTGCCCCCCTTAAAAGGAATTAAAACACCTTATTTCCAGCGCCGCGCAGCTCTGCCAGCACTGGCTCCGCCCCCTTGGTGACAATCAGAATTGCCGGTTTGTAGCCAATCAAATGCTTTCCTATGGGGAAGTATTGGATCTAATCGGCAAGGGGCAGGGCCAAACACCATTTTGGCCAATCAGCACCTCCTCCTAGAGACACATTGAGTCAAATCATCTCTATGAGGAAAATTCAGCGTTCCCATGCAGAGCGTGGAGACGCTGAATGGCAGTGCTGCCTGTGCAGCACTGAGCCAGGAAACCCCTCCAGTGGCAGCCACTTGGAGTTGTCCATAGGGGAAATGTAAACACTGCCTTTTCTCTGAAAAGGCAGTGCTTGCATGAAAATGCCTGAGGGCAATAATTATACTTATACACGTATCTCAAAAGACCACCCAAGTGCAGCAAATAGATAATAAAAATAAGGTTAAATTACTTCCCTTAATAATCTAGGATGTAACAAGGGATTCCTCAAAGCCTCATAAAATACATACAAAATATAAGATACACCTAGATAAAAACAGAAAGAAAGAAACGATCATAGGGAAACACCATTAAGTAGATGGATCCCTACTAAAATATTGCACTCACAAAATGACGGAGAAGTTCAAGCCCATCTAGGTTTCTTTGAATCTTGTCAAAAATCTTGTGAAGGAATTCCTGATTCCTCGAGTGGACATGTAAAAGAAAAACTGAACATAGCATAGAATTGTATGATATTAAAAAACAATTTATTGGAAACACAAGAAGTGAAGGATAAAAATGCCCATCAAGTATTAGTCTCTCTTTCCAAGATGACAAATGGAGACTTCAAATACAGGGATAACAGGTAGCAATAAAACCAGCTCTACACGTTTCGTCTAAGCATTAGACTTCATCATATAATAAAAAAAAACAATGTTACAATCAATCAAATAAATAACAGATGCTGATATGCTCTTCTGTTCAGTCTTCTTTTAAGTGTGCCTCTCGCCGGGTTTGACTTCTCATCATCCAATCTGCAGGCGTTGCGTTACCTGTTCCAAGTGAGCATAATTCCGAGTCCATATAAGGACTTCCGCCGAGTGTTCCATGGAACGCATATGCGTTCCAACAATCCGGAAGAGAGGAACTCCTTCTACATCAGTCATCTCTTGGCGGCTGGAACGCATGTGCGTTCCACCGTACAGTGCGTAACCTCGACGGAAATCAGTCCATGATATAAGGGAGAACATAGAGGAGGCGAATAAAGTAAAAATACAAGAATAGGTTTAGTAATACAAAACGTACCATAACCTAGCATGGTGTATAAAACCATGTGTATTAAAATATCAATGGAACATATCCCATAGTGCCAAAAAGTGAATTTATTAAAAATATATAGAAGTGGGTACATGAATTTTCAATTTTAAAAGGAATGATCCTGGATACAGTAAAATAAAATCAAATGAATAGAAAAATAAAAAATGTATAACAATAAAGATATATAGATGAACAGATAATAAACTGAAATAAATAAGTACAAATAAAATAGAAATGAAAATAAAAATAAAAATGATAAAAATAAAGAATAAAAAATAAAAATGGAAAAATGAAGAAAATTAGAGAAAACATATTAAATCAAAATCCACATTCAACCCATAAGGTTGAAGGGTTTTTAATTTGTGAATCCAGAATCCTTCCCTTTGTCTCAATTTCATAGTGATATCTCCATCCCTTATACCAAGCGATACCTATTCTATAATCACCCATGAAAAATTGTGGGTTTGAAATTGGGGACACTGATTACAATGAATGGGAATAGAGTGATTTGTTAATTTGCGTCTAATATTGTTTTTATGCTCCAAAAAAACGTATCTTTGCCTTTCTCCCCGTCATCCCCACATATTGAACACCACATCCACATGTGAGGAGATATACAACATGTGAGGAAGAACAGGTCACCCGTCTTTGGATTTGGAAAGTTTCTTTAGTAATGAAACTCGAAAAGGAACGGGATGGTAGTCCCCTACAAATACCGCAGGTGTAAAATCCTCTACTTCTCTCCAATTCATGTTGGTCCCCACTTCGAAAGTGACTTGGTGCTAAATATGATGAAAAACGCCTCCCTTTTCTATATACTATTTGAGGATGTATAGGTAATCGGGGACCTATAAATTCATCGTATCTTAGAATGTTCCAATGTTTTTTTAAAGATTTTTATTATTAGCAAAAGCTTTAGAATTATAATTGGTATGAAATGAAAATTCTAATGTTTTATTCGAATTTTCAGTGCGTTTGATTTCATCAACCAAAAGAACACCTCTTTTGATATTTTCCACACTCTCTCTATTTAAGATCTATTTTTTGTAACCTTTCTCAATAAATTTCATTGTCAGGATTTCAGCTTGTTCTAAATAGATGTCCTTATTTGAGCAATTTCGTCGGAGTTGGGTGTATTGGCTTCTAGGTACTCCCGACAACCATCTAGGATGGTGTCCACTAGTTGATTCAATATAACTGTTGGTATCAGTGGGTTTAAAATAAGTTTTAGTATGAATATGACCTCCTTGTTTTGAAATAGTCAAATCCAAAAAAATCTATAGAAGTAGAACTGTACATGGGGGAAAAAACGAGTGAAAAGATATCATTAAGATACTTAAAAAAGTCTAACAGATGTTCTTCAGACCCCTTCCATATAACAAGAATATCGTCAATATAACGACGTCAGAGCACCAGGTCTTCCCTGTACGGATTATGGTCCGAAATAAACTGGCGTTCACAATAATTCATAAAAATGTTAGCATAGCTTGGGACAAACCTGGTGCCCATGGCAGTACCCTTGATCTACAGGAAGAATTCATTATTGAACATAAAGAAGTTGTGGGTTATGAATTGGATCGCCTCAAGCAAAAACTTGACAAATCCCTGATTAAGGGAAGTGTCTCGATTTAAATTATCGCTCACGGCTGATATGCCCAGTCGATGGTCAATGACTGTGTAAAGGGATCCCACATCTAAAGATGCCCACATGTAACCTTCTTGCCACTCAATAGAATCAAGTTCCTGGAGAAGATGTTTCGTATCTTTTAAAGAAGATAAAGATGATTGGGCATATGGTTGTAAAAAATGGTCAATAAATTCAAAGTTAATGAATCGATTCCACTGATAATGGGTCTGCCAGGTGGATTGATTTGACATTTATGCACTTTGGGTAAAAAGTAGAATGTCGGAATCCTAGGATTCTCTTGATATAAGAAGCGATAGGTTCCGACATCTATAATCTGATCTTGTACTGCTTTCTCTAAAAGAATCTTAAGTTCATGTTTAAAACTTTCATTCGGATTCTTAGACAGTCGAGAGTAAGTCTCAAAGTTCCCCAATAGTCTAGATGATTCTTGGAGATAGAATTCTCTGGTCATAACAACAATGCCCCCCCCCCCCTTATCTGCATTCTTTATGATATCGTCCCTTTTCTTTAATGAATTAAGGGTCCGCATTTCTGATTTAGTTAAATTATTACAATATTCTTTCTTACTGGTTAATTTTTCAAGAACTGCCATGACCATCTTATGAAATGTTTCAATTTGTCCTCCCTTCTCATACAGACAAAAAGTACAACGAGGTCTAAATTGCTTCAGGTTATCCTGATTAAGTACAGGATCTAATTGAGAAGGTTGATCTAAGGATTTCTTCATAAAAAATCTTTTTAAACTTAACTTCCTGGTAAATTTTAACATGTCGATATAAACTTGAAAAGAATTGGGGGCATTAGGCGTATATTTCATACCTTTCTTGAGAATTAAACATTCTTCTTTAGTAAGGGATGCATTGGATATATTAAATATCCCCATGGACTTTTCTTCTTTATGTACTTCTAGTAAAGATTCTCTCTCTCTAGACTAAATCTCCTCTTTTTGGTCGGAGTATTCTGATCTCTGAGGGGTGCAAAGCGATTGGTCGAGTCTGTTTTGGATGCTCTGGGTAGAAAATATTGACATCTCTTTTTTCCTTCCCCTTGGGTCTTGCTCCCTCTCCAAAAAATCCCTGCCTATATGTGTTTGTGAAGGCGGGGATCTCTCAGTCCTAACTATAGTGGAAGCCTGTTTAGATGGAATTAATTTTCTTTTAGATGGACTCTTAAAAACTAAACCGTTTCTAACTCTTTGATCCAAAGATGGACATCTAGATCTCTCTTTCCCCTATCTGGATGGAAATCAATTAAAATTCCTTTCGTGATTGAAATTATTTCTATAATTATATCCTTTCTGTTTATAATCAACATAAGTCGATTGAGTGCTGCGCCTGTCTTTTATTTCTCGGTTTCTATTTTTAATGGAGAAAAATTGATTAGTTTTGTCTTGTTTATCTCTTCTATATTTCTTGTTCTTTGTTTCTGCAATCCTTTTATCTATTTTTTGGACTCTGTCGCATACAAATATTTTCTTTCTGCGTATAGTCTGAACTTGTTTTATCGAATAAATTATAATTTTCTAAATTTTCTAATTCTTCAGTCACATTTTTAAGATTTTCTTTTTCGAAATCTACAATTATCTCCATTAAAGTAGTGGCACACATTTCTAAGGCTGTATCCCATCTATCAGCATAGTGGGAATTTTCCAGCCCATTGATATACCTCGACGGAAATCAATCCATGATATAAGGGAGAACATAGAGGAGGCGAATAAAGTAAAAATACAAGAATAGGTTTAGTAATACAAAAACGTACCATAATTTTGGCTGAATTTTTTGATAGTCTCAAGCCTCTGGGTACAAGACCCTCTTTAATATAACTTTCTAAAAAAGAAATCTCCCACCACTTTTTAGTTTCTTTAATAGAGAACTTTGCTAATCTTCTAAAATATTCATCAACTTGTAAATCACAATTGTGAGGGGTATTTTCATTATCAGTAAATAAAGATTGAAATTTAACTGCCCTTCTATGTTTTAACTATGAGAGCATATTAAACAGAGAATAGGTCTAGATATGAGGAAAATGGAAAAAATAAATATATACACGTATCTCAAAAGACCACCCAAATGCAGCAAATAGATAATAAAAATAAGGTTAAGTTACTTCCCTTAATAATCTAGGATGTAACAAGGGATTCCTCAAAGCCTCATAAAATACATACAAAATATAAGATACACCTAGATAAAAACAGAAAGAAAGAAACGATCATAGGGAAACACCGTTAAGTAGATGGATCCCTACTAAAATATTGCACTCACAAAATGACGGAGAAGTTCAAGCCCATCTAGGTTTCTTTGAATCTTGTCAAAAATCTTGTGAAGGAATTCCTGATTCCTCGAGTGGACATGTAAAAGAAAAACTGAACATAGCATAGAATTGTATGATATTAAAAAACAATTTATTGGAAACACAAGAAGTGAAGGATAAAAATGCCCATCAAGTATTAGTCTCTCTTTCCAAGATGACAAATGGAGACTTCAAATACAGGGATAACAGGTAGCAATAAAACCAGCTCTACACGTTTCGTCTAAGCATTAGACTTCATCATATAATTAAAAAAAACAATGTTACAATCAAATAAATAACAGTGTTACAATCAAATAAATAACAGATGCTGATATGCTCTTCTGTTCAGTCTTCTTTTAAGTGTAAGGACTTCCGCCGAGCGTTCAGTGGAACGCATATGCATATGCGTTCCACCAATCCGGAAGAGAGGAACTCCTTCTACATCCGTCATCTCTTGGCAGCTGGAACGCACGTGCGTTCCCCCGTACAGTGCGTAACCTCGACGGAAATCAATCCATGATATAAGGGAGAACATAGAGGAGGCGAATAAAGTAAAAATACAAGAATAGGTTTAGTAATACAAAAACGTACCATAATCTAGCATGGTGTATAAAACCATGTGTATTAAAATATCAATGGAACATATCCCATAGTGCCAAAAAGTGAATTTATTAAAAATATATAGAAGTGTGTACATGAATTTTCAATTTTAAAAGGAATGTCCTGGATACAGTAAAATCAAATGAATAGAAAAATAAAAATTAAACATGTATAACAAAGATATATAGATGAACAGATAAACTGAAATAAATAAGTACAAATAAAATAGAAATGAAAATAAAAATAAATAGGAATCAAAATAAAAATATAAAAAATAAAATATAAGAGAAAAAAATAAAATAAAAAAATATAAAAAAAAAAGAAAATTAGAGAAAACATATTAAATCAAAATCCACATTCAACCCATAAGGTTGAAGGGTTTTTTTATTTTTTTTATCATTTTTATTTTTATATTTATTTTGATTCCTATTTATTTTTATTTCTATTTTATTTGTACTTATTTATTTTAGTTTATCTATTTTAGTTTATCTGTTCATTATATATCTTTATTGTTATACAAGTTTCATTTTTATTTTTCTATTCATTTGATTTTATTTTACTGTATCCAGGATCATTCCTTTTAAAATTGAAAATTCATGTACACAATTCTATATATTTTTAATAAATTCACTTTTTGGCACTATGGGATATGTTCCATTGATATTTTAATACACATGGTTTTATACATCATGCTAGATTATGGTACATTTTGTATTACTAAACCTATTCTTGTATTTTTACTTTATTCGCCTCCTCTATGTTCTCCCTTATATCATGGACTGATTTCCGTCGAGGTTACGCACTGTACGGTGGAACACAAGTGCGTTCCAGCCGCCAAGAGATGACGGATGTAGAAGGAGTTCCTATCTTCCGGATTGGTGGAACGCATATGCGTTCCACGGAACGCTTGGCGGATGTCCTTATATGGACTCGGAATTATGCTCACTTGGAACAGGTGACGCCAAGCCTGCAGATTGGATGATGAGAAGTCAAACCCGGCGAGAGGCACACTTAAAAGAAGACTGAACAGAAGAGAATATCAGCATCTGTTATTTATTTGATTGTAACACTGCTATTTATTTGATTGTAACTTTTTTTTATTGAATTTCTCCTGATGAAGTCTAATGCTTAGACGAAACACGTAGAGCTGGTTTTATTGCTACCGGTTATCCCTGTATTTGAAGTCTCTATTGGTCATCTTGGAAAGAGAGACTAATACTTGATGGGCATTTTTATCCTTCACTTCTTGTAAGTGTTTCCAATAAATTGTGTTTTTTAATATCATACAATTCTATGCTATGTTCAGTTTTTCTTTTACATGTCCACTCGAGGAATCAGGAATTCCTTCACAAGATTTTTGACAAGATTCAAAGAAACCTAGATGGGCTTGACTTCTCCGTCATTTTGTGAGTGCAATATTTTAGTAGGGATCCATCTACTTAACGGTGTTTCCCTACAATCGTGTCTTTCTTTCTGTTTTTATCTAGGTGTATCTTATATTTTGCAATAATTATACTTCTCAGAACAACTACATTAAGCTTTAGTTGTTCTGGTGACTATAGTGTCCCTTTAACATGCTATCAGAGGCGTTTACAATATGAAATTTATCTTGTTTTGTTGCAATTTCTTTGAGCTTTGCATAGTCTGACCTTGGGGTGAATTTGTGTGACATCCACTCCTGTGAAGATTGCCAACTGTCTTGAAGATTTTCCACTGTATAATAAGTGGCTTTAAATTGTTTGGAATATCTCCTCCCAGTTTGATGGTCAGCAACAATTGCTTCTCTAAAATCACTGCTGGTGTCTTTCCTTCTTAGCATTGTGTTAACACATCTTTATGCTCCAGACCAACAAACATTTGGCTTTTAATGAAGTGGCCATACTTGCTGACAATAAATCAATCAAGGGAATTTGTTTAGCAGCACCTGTCTGCTAATTAGCCTTTTAATTCCTGTGGAAGCAGAAGTGGTGTTCTTTGGTTTTCAAAAATGGCATCTTTTTAACTTTATTTTTGTTAAATAAATTATGGACACTGTAACATGTCATGTGTTGCCCATCTGAAATTGTATTTACCCAAATGTAAGACCTGCTAAAGAAAAGATGTGTTATTAAGTCCTGATATGTAAAACCATAGAATTCAAAGAGGGTGTACTTTCTTTTTCCCATGACTGTATGTGTAGGTCTTCTGAATGGCAAATTATGCTAATAATTACCAGACCAATAAAAATTCTCTTTGGAAGGATACATATCTTTGAGAGAGCTAGTGATAGCTTGAAAGTGTCGGCTGACTATCAGCAACACCCAGGCCAAGATTTTCTGTTTGGTGCCTAAGACATTCAAAAGGAGTGGAAGGGCAAAGCGATCAGGCACAGTCCTTGATGTGCAAAGAGGTCATGGGTGCCATATTATCTTAACTTCTTTGAGATTAAGTTGTTACGATATCCGACCTGTCCCTTTAAAAGGTTAATTCCCCCCCCCCCCACTTTGCACCAGAGTCATTTCCATTTTAAAGGGGAAGATACACATTTTGTCAAGCCATTTTGTGAATAGGGCATTTGTGAATGAATCAGCGGCATCCAGTTAAACGTTTAACCCCTAAAGGTAATTTGGTCCCTGGGACCATCTGGCACCATAACATTATTCCAATGAAGCTGGTATGGTGACTAGAGTGTTCCTTTAACTGAGGCTTGACTGCGGCTGTTGAACAGAGAGTCAACTAAAACCCCATAGTCCTTTGATTAAAAATAAAAATAAACAGAGGAAGATGGGCATTAGAATACAACATGAGAGCCTATGTTGGAAAGCTTTTTCTTTAATGTATAAATATTCTCCTAGCTGGAAAGGAGGGTGAGGATGTCTAGTACAGATTCAGCAAGCTCCCTTTTTGTATGATGCCGAATTTAGAAACATATGAGATCAAAGTAGGAGACACTCGCGCTCATTTGTTTTATTAGCCAGCACATAAAACATTATTTTGTGGCTTGATTATAGCCATAAATATATTTTAAACATTTTGACAAATTGGATGATTAAATACATAAAAGACCATTTTGTTGGCACTTTATTTAAAAGCACAGGGGGAATACTAAAATATACTAATTTTGCAACAGAAAGACCTTTTTACACTCATTAGAAAGATAACTGAATTCCATTTTCCCAAATCTGTTCACCATCCCACAAGGGGAAAGAAAAAAACAAAACCAAAACACCCACACAATTAATTCCTATAGGAATCGATTTTTAAGCAATTTAACCTCTTTGCCAGTTCAGCCTAGGGTTAAACTGGATGTTTTAGCTACAGGTGAAAGGGTACAAGTTTGCTGCAAGCAAAAATAAAATTAAAAAATGCAGTAATGAATAATGATTTCTTTTTTTGGTTAAAACTGAATTGCTAGCAAATTTTAACAAACTACATTTACAATATTAGATTCTGCACTCTTGGATAGCTCATGCCCCTCTAAGGCAGCTTTAACTATCCTAACAAAGCATTACCCATGACCGTTCTAGTTGCAGGACTGGAAACTGCCAATATGGGTGTGATAGCATTCCACTCAAATTAAGAATTTCATAACGATGAAAAGTCAAGATTTTCCAAGCAATATGCATAGTTTTTGCAATTTAAAGGATACCAAAGTAATGTATGACATTATTTTGCCACTGATCTAAAACACATCTATGAAAGGATTCTCAACCCTATTAGGCACAAGTGCATGTTGGTAACTTATTTGACTTACAGAGTGTAAAGCAGACAGTGGGTCAATAAGAGTATGACTGCGCAGATTTGTACATCAATATTTGCCCTCAAGATATGCAAATCTATCCCATAACCCTTTGCTTGACTGCATAGGGTTTCATGGGACTCCACACTACCCCAGAACGGCAAGGGGAGGGGGGGAGAAAATCTCTCTCTCAACCCCAGAATTGAAAAAAGATCTAATTTGTGAAGAAAGAAAAAAAAAAAAAAATAATTCAGAAGTTATAATATATTTGGATTAACAATTCATGTAACTTGTGTGGCTTGCATTCTCTTTGCAAGAAAGTACATGATTGACTGATTTTTTCCGGAACATAAAAAAAAAGGAAGTACTAGTAAGTGTTCAAAACTGCAATTATATAACAAATGGAAAAAAATACCGCTTCTAATAAGAAGAAAAAAAACACATTTGATAATCAGTTAAACATTCAAAACACTTTTTTTGAAGAATGGAATGCATTCTGAATTGGTACCTTTGCAACCTATATGAGAGGCAAGTCTACAGATTCCATAAGAAAGAAGGAAAGAGGAAAAGAAAACCAAACCACAAAATATGTACCAATGACTGCAATTATGCCCCAAAATCAATATATTTAATTACTGTACTTTCTTAATACCTTTAGTACTGGATGGGGGAAATAAAACATTTACAGTTTTAAACAATCATCCAATTTAAAATCTGGAAAGGCCACTAAAGCGCTTCTGATTGAACTATATGCAGACAGGAAAATTATTTCTTGTGGAGGGCTTAACCATTGTAATGCAATCATAACATTTGTACCAATACAAAGAGCAGGGGAAAGCACTGTAGTATGCAAGAGGCCTATACACAGATTGACAAAAAAATTATTGCTCTGTGCTAGTGATTCACTAATTAGGCATATATATAGGTCATATTGTCAGCAGACAATTGCCAAATTGTTTACTTGGCATATTTCCTGACTGTGACTACTATTTTATTAATTTTTTTTTATTTATTTTTTTAAGTACAATTTTTCTTAAAAACTAAAAACACGGTTGATGCATAATAAAACAGCTGTTCAGTAATACAGTCCAGAAGACAATAGTGACAACATCAACATATTCACAAAGAAAACAGTACAAGACCCATTTTTTCCCTTTTTCTTCTTGTCAGGTGACGACCTAGTCAACCACTCATTAAAACAGGTGGCTCACCTTTCAGACATGATGCATTAACAGAGAGGCATGGATCTCTTCACGAGTCACATGTACATCTTTCTGGGGTAAGAGGGCAGGTAAAATGACAAAGTAGGTTCTAAATGGCAGAGTGGTCCGAAAACTGGCGCAATCTCAGTATTTGAATGTGGCTTGCATAAGCTGGGCTGTATCTTCCAGGACTACTGAAGTCAGGAGTGTTTGTGTATTTTCCTGGGCTTCCAGGTATAGGACTGTGCCGGCCAGGTGTAGAAAATCCATGGCTTCCAGGAGAGTTGAATATTTGAGGCTTGTTTTTTCCTGATAGAACTGCTGGACTTGGCCAACTGTGGTGTAAAAATAAAAAGTAATTAAAGGTACATTCCAGAGCCCACATGCAATATATAACACTTTTTAGTAGACTACCTCTAATGAAAATATGCATGCATTTAATTATGCATTTTTTACTCTGGGATATTGAACAGTTGCAGATCTCTTATATGCTGCTTTTGCAAACCCTCCCCTTCTAACCCAGCCGAGGCTTTCTGTCACTGTCCAACCACAGACTTTCCAATATAGCTCAATTAGAAGTCTTTGTAAGGCAGGTGCTCTGAGCAATTGCCTGCAGTTTGAGTTTAGTACATCTCATCCCAGAAACAAACAGATTAAAAGAGGTGGATAATTTCTGCACGTGTGATTAGTAAAAAAAAATAAAAAAAAATAAAAACAAACCCAACACAACATACAGTAAAACACATAATAAAACCAGATCTAGCTCCACAGTCTGATTGTTAACATATCTAGCTGCCATTGATTGGAAGTCCTGCATTCCAAGTATTTGTTTAAGGCCAACTTCTGAAAACAAAATCGTACTGGGTTTTAAAGTTCACCTGTTATGGAATGCCCAAATTTATTTAGTAGAAACAGAAATTCAATTCTATCTATACATTGTACTCGCAATTACATAGACTGTTTAAAATGTTTTATTTAAAAAAAATAAATAAAAATATAGTCCCTTCCACAAGTCAATCAATTCTTCAGCACAGAGTCAGCATAGTCCTCTAAATCATTAGCTGACTGACAGGGGAGAGTAATAGAGCCCTCTTACTCCAGGACAACAACCACGGTACATGTGCTAGACGAATATTAACTGAATGACTGATGTCAGTCAGTTCAGATGCAAGCGAGTTCACAATGAAGCAAACATTTCAGCAACATGAGGGAAGACTGATACACCCAAATAAGTCCTGCGCTCAAAATCCCACTATTCAGCAATTACCATAGTACACGTCAGCCCAAATACATACAATAAAAACCAAAGAGTTACCTATGCACTACCCCAAATCCCTATGCATATTTAGACAAAGTATATTTGTTTCTCAGTGAGCACTTCCTGTGAGACTGGGGAGAAGTAACAGGAGCTCCCTTTCCACGGTCCACAAATCAGCCATGCTGTGCGCTCTCCTCCTACTGGTCAAACATATCCTGCACCCCCTAAACCAGTGTGCCGCCTTATGGTAGCGCAGGCCTGGGACCCTGCAAGCTGCACAAAATTTTTAGGACTGGCCACAAGCGACCTGCATGTACTGCAGGCCTGACCTACATAGATCATTTTAGGCAAGGGGTATATTCATTCACAATGGGTTCATTTTAAGTTTTGTTGAAGTACGCAGCACATCTATGCACGTGTTTTACAATACCTTTGCCGATCTGAGCTGGGATATGACTGAATGGCTTCTATCCACCGAGAAATGCAGGGGTATTTCTGGGTATCAATTTCAACATGTTCCACAGCTGAGAGTACATTACTGTCTAGCTTAGAAGGTTCTTTTCTGAAATAAAAAAAACAAACAAACTTTTACACAGTGACATGCATTTTCACCTTAAAGAATTTATGGAAAGGTTTTTTTCCCCCCCAATATGTAAAATATTTAGTTTTTTTCTTGCCTTCATGCAGTGTAATTAACGCATGCTGCTATATGTCAAAACAATTCTCTGCGCTGAACTGAGATTCACTAGTTATGTGTCATAACATCCAACTTGTTTAGCTTCAAAAAGTGAATGCATTCTTTTTCAGTGAGATATAGTCAAGAACAATGTGGCCCCCAAATTCTGAGTGTGAAATTTTATATGTTCGAAAAAAAAAACAAAAAAAAAAACACAAACATTTAATGAACAGTCTTTGTCACACTCTGTAGTAGTATAGTAGCCTGGTTCAACTGAAACCTACTCTACCCTCTATTGGCTTATTTACATACCCGAGCAAGAAAGTAGTTTTAGTGCTTTGGTTTTTGGATGGAGTCGTCATGACTAGTTGATGGATAGGAGATCCTGAAGAGGTATGCAAGCCTGCCAGCTCAGGCTGGCCTGGTGGAGATGGATTGTCCTTAAGGCTTAAGTCAGGCAACAGCTGCTCAACCTGTGTCAAGCCACAACATTCTGTCTGTGTTGATAATCTGCCAGCTAAAGTGTCCGCTTTGTTACCAGAAATATTTGCTTGACTCATATTGTGAGAAATTGTTGCCTCATTTGCAAAGGGAGAGTCATCTTTCCAATGTGCATCATTGTCAGATTGCATTAAATCTGCAAATGAGAGCTTTTCAAACTCTGCCATGAGGTTTGAGACTGGAGACAGCATTCCTTCTTCCACAGCCTGATGACGATTCTCACCAGGAAGTATCCGTTCACTGCACAATGGACTACAGAAACCAGGTTTAGCCTGGTTATGTTGGGTGCTGTTGGGATGAACATGTGTGTCAATGATACACTCTGGTGTGGAGATGGTCTCTGCAGAAGCCAGCGAAGGGCTGCGTTTTAGAGCAGCATTCTGACGGTTTTTGATCTCTATGCTCATGTCTTCCTCATCATCAAGAAACGCTCCAACTGATATCGAATTGCAAAATTTTCTGTTTCTGCCTATTGAGGATAAGAGTAAAGGAATAACAAAACTAGTTTTTACAATTAACCCTATATTTATTTGGCAGTAAAGCATGACAGTTGCATTAAACATCAAAAACTGTAGAGGTACAGTAAATATAGTAAATATGTAAACTAGGTGGCATGCTGAATTCTAGCATCAAGAGAAGACCTATGAGTGTGCCAATAGCCAAGGTTCTGAGTTACCTGAAGGAGATGGAGTTTTATATTTGTTGCAGAATTCATGATCAGATTCTAACAGTGTTCTCTCACTAGACTCCCTCTTGCTCAGAAATTCTTCCAGTTTTCCCAGGCCCTCCTGGGAAGAGAGGTCAGAAAAGCAACCAAGAAAATCCCAATACTCCAGCCATGGGATATCAAGCTCATGGGCCAGCTCTCTATATAAAAAAATAAATAAATAAATAACACACCACAAAGTTATATGCAGTTCAGCATATAAAGGGTACTTTCACATATGAAATCTTGACAGCAGGGGTATATGACGCACTTCTGCACAATAGGTGTAACAGTAACTCTCCTTGCTTTCCTGGCACCGGTTGTGCAATGTTACTGAAGACTGCTACACTACTCCCTTCTAACCATGCTCAAATCGTATGCCTTGCAAAGGAGTCTGAGCCACTCCTTCTCTAGAGACTAAAGAAAAAAAGAATTTAAATAAAAATGGACCTTCAGTTTCTATGAATGTGGCTGGCCCTGAAGGCCACGTGGTTTGAGTCTGTAAAAGGTTATGAATATATAAGGGAAAAAAAACAAACAAAAAAAAAAACACAACTTTTTTTTAAAATGAGGGAACTCCAGGCACAGATTGGCCAGCGGACAAATGCATGGTGGGCTTCGATGGCCATGATCCAAGGCTGACCAGGTCCAATGCTACTTGAATGCTGGCCTCACCAGCCAGACCTCTATAATGCAGTGGGGCTGCTGTAATCTGCTCCTGGAACCCGATCACAGCCTTGCTACAGGTTACCACACTGCAACACATATTACCAAAAGCATAGAGGAAGGAGCAATTTGCACTGCTGGAGGTGCAAAGGATGCTTCTAACCCAGAGGACCCACAAGGGATCAGAAAACCACCCCACCCCAGGATAAGCAAAGGGGAGGGGGCATAACCTTTAAATTTCTTTGATACCTTCAGACCACATTACAGAACATATAGCCTCTACAAATTATTTTTGGGGGGGAAAGGGGGGTTGTATTGTTAATGTAAACACACACCACAGTCGTCTTTTGTCCCCTACACAGAGTGCTTTTAGCAAAAGTACATAAGTGCAACCTTACACTGCAGACCCTATCCTCCACATAACAGCCATTATCGCCCCATAGACAAGTCCTATAATTCCAGTCCGGCTCTGCACAATGAGTTTAGGATTTAAAGACATGCAGTATAGAAGACTGTATGCACAAGTCAAATGTGCTTTAATTAATTAGTGACTGGAAAGTCCTATGCATGAAAAGAGCTGCAGAGCAAGAAACATCAGAAATCCATGAGAGGCCCTACACAAAAATTCAGAGCTAAATATATAGTGAGTTCAGTAGCACTAAAGATTATAACAAAAGAGAGGAAAGGAGAACTTTCAAACTTTATTCAAAGAGAAGTGGTGCTTCTGATGTCTCAAGTGTCAGTTTTACAGGTTACTGGTCATACAGCTTTAAAAAAAAAAAAAAAAAAAAAAAGCCATTTATAACATGCTCTATTGGGCGGGGGAGGGATGGAGGGGGGGCACAGCTTTCAAAAAACGTTTCGGCTTACCTTCCTACTCGTTCAGCACCTCTTTCAGGATCAGTTTTTCTGACATTATGAAAGAATCCAGCTCTATCCCTTGGTGGGGTTTTCCACATTTTTCGAAAATCCTCTGCCTGAGAGACACACATACAAACCCTTTCATTCAAAGTTGACACTTTTTTGGTGTGTTCTGTACACAAAATGCTATGACAAATGTAATTGTAAACAGCAGAAAAGCCATTGACTCTATAATAAAGATTAAATAGGACTGATGTAGAAAAATAAAATTCATTACATGCTGCACTTAAAAGAGGTATACTTCAAGCACCTTAACCACTGCTGTAGTGGTTATGGTGCCAAGAGTGCAATCCCAGGATAAACAATGTTTGAGGTTAACAATTTGACAGGGGCCACTAGGTGCACCCTCCTGTGGAGCTATTACCCCCTTCCTGTATGGGGCAATCTCATTGGCTAAGCGCTCTCAGCCACTGAGCTTAGCCCTTTACCGACAGGTTTGGCTCGGTGCTGGAGTTTCCATGGGCACAGGAGGAGGTAACCAGCGGTGCACCACAGGACTGAAAGAGTTGAGGTTTATGTCCCTCATAAAAGGAGAAAGTAATCATTCTTTCAAAAATTATGCATACATTAAATTCTTCCTTCTGCTCACCTTGGAAGGGCTCATGGGCCCAGCAAATGCTCTCACTGCCAACAATGGATCTTTAGGGCTGCCCGTGTACCGTCTCTGTGAGAGAAAGTCTGACTGTTCTGGGGACCATGGAGCTCCAATGACGGGGGAAGAGGAGTTATCTTCCGCGCGCAAAAGTGGGACATAAAAATGACCTGTGGAAGAGACTTACACTTCATAACATGAAAGGAAACGCTTATCTTTTCTCAACATAAATAATATATGCTTAGGGATTTTGTCGCCTCCATACCACAACAACCGGCCATACATAGCGACTTCACGCCCTTTGGATTGCATGGTCAGGACCCTAACCCTATGCCACATGGTATATCCTGCCTCTATTCTATACTTTAGTAACAGCAGAGGCAACCCCCACCCCCTTTAAATTGAAATGGGAACAGGCCGTAGGGGAAATGTTCAGAGAACCAATTGCACAAAAAGTACAAGCTAGTAAGAGCCAAGTTCTTATGCAGTGGTATACGACACCAGATTGTCTAAAGACAGTGTACCCTGACCTTGATGGAAAGTGCTGGAGGTGTGGGAGGGAGGTTGAAACCTTCCTCCATATATGGTGGGAATGCCCAATCATACAGCAAATTCACGGTCATTCCCCCACCTTTTTTGCTGGTTCCATACCTGGTACACCACACTACTTTCCCTTCATCCCAATATAAACACTCCTGACAATCTGCATTTTAAATACTACAAAGCACTTATTACATCTTTACTGGAAAAAGAACTTTGCCCCACAATTATCGCTGTGGTTCACCAAGATGGAGGAACTACAGGTCCAGGATGAGCAGTGGTATTCCGTGCATAGTAGAGCACAGACAGAGATATTTAGGCACCATGGCTCCTCAGATGTATTCCGAAACTAGTATATAGGGGATGAAGGAGAGACACAGGAAGGAGGGCCAGGCGAGCCGGGGTCGGAAAAGAGGAGCACTCTGCCCACGCCATAGACTCAGACACATAGACCTATGACTCCCTATTTACTCTCTTTGTTCTACCAATCTCCATATTTTCAGGAATCTATACCATCTCAAGGTTCTGTCACTGACAAATGGTGAAGCTAATGGGTCATGGGACTGTCAGAACGCAGATGGAGCCTGTGGTGGTTGCTTTGTGCTATATGGGGAGCCTGTGACTCATGATTTTTAGTTTGTTCAACTTTTTTTTTTTTTTTTTTTTTAAACCATTTGACTGCTAGATATCCCTCAATCTAATAATAATAATAATAATAATAATAATAATAATAATAATAATTAAAAAAAAAAAGCCTAAAATCATACTATTCATGGTACTGCCCTAATCTAATCTCGCTATGTAAATTATGCTTAACCAATTCACTACTTAAAAATAGAGTATAAACATTTTTATTTTCATGTATTGTGCAGAATGAAATTTAGTCGATAAAGCCTCACTTATCCTCATTTGTACTCTAGTTATGATTACTATCCTGTAGAGGAAGGGATTTATTTACCAGAAGGCAACAGTCACTTTTGTAATACCTGCAAACTTAAAGTAACACTGTAGTCACCCAGACCACTTCAGCTCAATTAATTTGCCAGGTCCCCCAGGTATTAACCCTTCAGATGTAAACCTAGCAGTTTCAGAGAAACTGCTAGGTATACATTGAAGGGTTAATCCAGCCTCTAGTGGCTGTCTTCCTGACAGCCGCTAGAGGCGCTTCCCCGACGCTGGATGCGAATCTCACATCCAGCGTGCAGAACATCCATAGGAAAGCATTGAGAAATACTTTCCTATGGACTGTTTGAATGCGCGTGCGGGATCTGACGTCAGCGGGCGAGGAGACGTCACCAGCGCAGAGGGAGCCCGGCGCTGGATTAAGGTAAGTGGCTGAAAGGGTTTTAACCCCTTCAGCCTAGCGGGAGGGGGACCCTGAGGGTGGAGGGGTTTTAAGGATGATATAGAGTTAGGAAAACGAGTTTGTTTTCCTGACACTATAGTGATCCTTTAATGAGAATGTGACCTCACTCCTGCTTCTAAACAGTACAGGAAGATGCATTCCTACAATCAAGGCTGGTGGAACAGTGACTGAACCAACATTTTACATCCCAGAGAGTGATAATTGCTACACAAGTTTGAAATACTTTTATTTTAGAGATAGGATTTCACAGTAGGTGTTCATTATGTGCTCAAATATTTAATTTTTTGGGTAACATTCTGCTGCCATGTCTGCAAGAAATGCCTTTAAGAATACATAAGCAAAGTATTTTTTTTGGTCACTTTTTAATGAGGCATAAATGTATTCTACATTATAAGCAGAAATAAGGAGCTGCATAATAGGTCACAAAAGGTGAATACCTAATTTTATATTTAAAGGACGATTAACTTGTCGCAAAGGCTAGATAGATAGAATCAAAACAATAATAGCATCTGTCACATGTATCATAGAAACTGTTGGTTAGAAATATTTTATCCCAAACAGTGTTGCTGGTAAATGGTCTACTAGGCCCAGTGCTACAAGAAATGCTGGACCTTCAGTAGGGTCATAAGCCTTATGATTGCCTGTCTTTAAAAGGACACTATAGTTACCAGAACAACTACAGCTTAACCCCTTAAGAACGGAGCCAAATGTACACGTTGTGAACGAAACAAAATGTAAACAAAACCTGGCATTTGCGCTACATGTCTGTCCAACCGTAATTCACCTCTTTCATAGTAAATGCACCCACCCTTATTATATATCATTTTATTCAGGGGAAACAGGGCTTTCATTTAATATCAAATATTTAGCTATGAAACATAATTTAATATGAAAAAAATGGGAGAAAATAAGATTTTTTTTTTTTTTAGTTCTACATGACATTTTAACTGTCAATGTCATAATACTGTTTGCTTTTACTGCAATAAAATACACATATTTGTATTCAGCAAAGTCTCACGTGTAAAACAGTACCCCCTATGTACAGGTTTTATGGCGTTTTGGGAAGTTACAGGGTCAAATATAGCAAGTTACATTTGAAATTGAAATTCGCCAGATTGGTTACGTTGCCTTTGGGACTTTATAGTAGCCCAGGAATGAAATTTACACCCATAATGGCATACCATTTGCAATAGTAGACAACCCAAGGTATTGCAAATGGGGTATGTCCAGTCTTTTTTAGTAGCCATTTGGTCACAAACACTGGCCAAAGTTAACGTTAGTATTTGTTTGTGTGAAAAATGCAAAAAACGCCAATTTTGGCCAGTGTTTGTGACTAAGTGGGTACTAAAAAAGACTGGACATACCCAGTTTGCAATACCTTGGGTTGTCTACTATTGCGAATGGTATGCCATCATAGGGGTAATTTTCATTCTTGGGCTCCCAAAGGGTCTCAAAGGCACCGTAACCAATCTGGCTTATTTTAATGTGAAAAAAAATGAAACGCAAGCCTTATATTTGATGCTGTAACTTTTGAAAACACCATAAAACCTGTACATGAGGGGTACTGTTGTACTCGGGAGACTTCGCTGAACACAAATATTTGTGTTTCAAAACAGCAAAAAGTATCACAGCAATAATATCGTCAGTGTAAGTGCTGTTTGTGCATGAAAAAGGCAAAAAACTTCATTTTTACTGGCGATATCATCGTTGTAATACACTTTACTGTTTTGAAGCACTAATATTTGTGTTCAGCGAAGTCTCCCGAGTAGAACAGTACCCCCCATGTATAGGTTTTATGGTGTCTTGGAAAGTTATAGGGTTAAATATAGTGCTAGCAAATTAAATTCCCTTTACTTTCGGCATGGGTTGTCAGGCAGGTCCCGCTAATTGTAATTATTTAAAATACCTAATTATGTAAAAATATTATATATATATATATATATATATATATACACACACACACACATATACACACACACACACACACACACACACACACCCCTATATACACACATATATAGATGTATATTATTTCGTTCTACGTGTATTTTTATATAAATATATGAATATCAATACAGTTAGAACGAAATAACACATCTAATTATTTTTTAATTTTATTTTTAACGTATTTACATATTTAATTTTTTTATATTATATATAAATATATATATAATAATAATTATATATATTTAATCAGTATTAGTCTACGTGTAATTTGATAGAGATATAGATATATATATATATATATATATATATATATATATATATATATATATATATATATATATATATATATATATATATATATATATATATATAAATAATCTAAGTATACATTATTTTTTTTACACTTTTTAATTTATTTTATTTTTAGCCAGCAGGGGGACCATCTGTCATTACAGGCAGCCCCCCATGCTGGCAATGCAGGAGGCAGCCTACCCGGCCATGTGATTGTGAGGTCCTCACAAAGACCTCACTCGCACATGGCCGGAACGGAGGAGGAGGATCTGCTGCGGGGGGGCTCCCTGGGAGTCCTCCCCCCACCGCGATCGCCGGCGGACGGGGTAAGTAATGAAAGACCGGAGGGCGTACAATTACGCCCGGCGGCGTTTAGAGCCGCCTAAAATAGGGCGTAATTGTACGCCCTCCGGTCTTAAGGGGTTAATGTAGTTGTTCTGGTGAGTAGTCAGTCTCTGCAGGCTTGTTGTTGTAAACACTATCTTTTGCAGAGAAAAGGCAGGGTTTATTTTAATAAACAAAACTGGAAAAAAAAAAAAAAAAAGGTACATTTACATAGTTTATATTACTTTGCAGACAAATGTAAACAAACACAAAATTGCTGTGTTATGTTTATATGCTATGCACCACTTGCGTCAAATACATATGACTCCCCAATCAAAGTATTCCGTAGCAAAGGGACTAAACAGGTCTTGTTCTATATAACTGAATATAGTAAAAGAGAGAGGAAAAAAAAAAAAATTGTGTTTGTCCAAGTGCAAGACAAACCTTGGAGGTATTCTCTCATTCTTGCTTTTAATTCCGCAGATTTATTTTTGCTTCGTTCACATATAACCTAGGGGAAAAAAAAAATGTAAAAGAAAATGTTTATATTATATATTATATATACATACATACACACTAAAATACCCCCAAAAAAGTAAAATAAAAAAAAAAATACAACAAGTCGTGTTCAGGGTTTGTTGTTCTTAGATTTGATTACTGTATGCAAACATAGAATTGTGCAAAAAAATAAATCTTTCCTCTGCGACTGCAGTCCCCAATTGTTGCCAATATCAGACAGATCGCATGATGTATGGCATACATGAAAGCTTCAGTTACACAATCCCTGTGGCCTCCCACTTTAACCATGGACACCAACTAAGCCTCCTATACTACAGAGTCGATAGCAGTTGCTGTGCTTCTAACAAACTTGACTTCTTGGAAAAATAAGTCAAAATACCAGAGTGACAAAAAAAAAAAAAAAAAAACCAGACCTGCAATTTACCTCCCTCAAACTTGCAGAAAGGCTTTCACAATCATGCTAAATATCTGCCTCACTCTACCCATGCTACATATGCATTGTACAAAAATATGACATGGCACACCAATGCCTAAGCCCCTTGCTCAGTTCCATGAGAGACAAAACAGTATTTTATAGAATGCTCCTTGCAAGCAAGCCACAAATTCCCTATAAACACATTAAAAAAAAAACTGTCAAATGAGAACTGAATGTTTTCTGGAAAGTCTAAATGTAAATTCACTTACTGTGTAAAAGGATAAGTGATCACCAGGGAGATGGGGCAGGTAGAAAACTTACCTCTTCTGGAGTTTGGTTGTACTTATTTCTTGGTTTCCTTATAATATCAGGATGCGAGCTTAAGACATTCAGCGCATCTGCATTACCAAACTTACAGGCGAAATGCAGGGGAGTATCAAACGCCTAAAGGAAACCAAGAAAGGATGAAGAAAAAAAATAAAATAAATAAACCACAAAAAATAAAATAAAAAAATAATAATAATAATCAAGTTGTGTCTAAAGAAATGCCAGTGTTTACTTTACAATTACCATCTTATCTGGTGTATTCAGATAGAGATCGACAATGTACTGGATGCGTTTCAGGAGCATTATTTCATCATCGTCTGGGTACATAAGACGCATGAATTCTGGGTTCTCCAAGGTATCCAGCAATAGCTGGCAAATCCCAGCTTGATTCTCCTTGGCAGCCACATGCATCACATTATACCTGCACCCTTCCTACATTCAATAGAAACCAAGTCAAATTAGCCAGAGAGCAAACTGAAGCAGTATTCAGACAATACACAGATTCAAATCCCTCCACAAAACTAATGAACTATTTGAAGAGTTTTTGGAATGGCCTACAGAGTTCTCAGACTAGATTAGTCTATAAGGAAGAGTAGGTAAAAGACTGTTGGGTTGCTACAAGGAGTGTTTAAAGGCTGTTACTTCTGCTAAAAGGTGATATTACGACTGACTGACATGGTGCCAAAACCTTTGACTATAACCTTTAGTTTTTTCAATCTGTTAAATTTAGCAAATAATTGTGCACTCTGTTATACAGAAATACGTAAAAGCTTTTGTACCTCGCCAATCTCGTTGCAGCTAGCACCGCCTCCATGGCGGAGATCACTAAATTTTGATTATCTCAACCAACCCAATGCTTTCCCATTGAAAAGCATTGGGAGGCTATTGCGCATGTGCAGCAAAATGCTGCCTTGCACCAATCAACATCTCCTCATGAGAGGAGAGATGCATTGAAGCAGTGTATCCCTATGGGGAAAGTTCAGCGCCTGCATGCAGAGCGTGGAAACTCTGAATGTAGGTGCTGCAAGTGATAGGAAGCACCTCTAGTGGCTGCTTGAGTGACTGCCACTAGAGGTGTTACTAGGCAGCAATGTAAACACTGCCGTCTCTGAAAAGGCAGCATTTATAGCTCGCCCCAGAAGGCTATTCAATGTAGACACCCGAAATTACATTAAGCTGTAGTGGATCTGGTGACTATAGTGTTCTTTTAACACTTCCTTTATTGCACAGTCTGTTTAATTTAGAATGTATTCTCATGTTATTCTTCTAGATCCCTAAAAAGAGCCTCCTCGTGTGTGAGAGTAAAGTTCAATTTATAAAAGCAGGAGATAAAAACTTGTAAAGCAAGTTAACATGATTCAAAATGAAGAAAGGTTTCATACAGGCTGTGTATGTGTCACAGTCAGGTGATGTGTAGTTAGGGCTGCATAATAAAAAAATAAAAAATAAAAATTGTAATAAGATTTACATCCTAAATATCAGATAACTGAACAGGTAGTTTGCAGGGGCATCATCAACAGACCCAATCCGCTTGATTTAACAAGTTTTTTTTTTTTTTTTTTATACCTATACTATGCCTTTAAAGTTGCCACTCATCCCATCTCACGTTGAAATTAAAATTACACCAAAAGCCTTCTGTGTATTTTAAATATATCATTGGAGAATCTACACACGATAAACATGTCGAACATTACTCATATGTACATAATCCAGCATGAAAGTTAGTTATTCTATACATCTTTTGACTTTTCACAACTCCCTTTTACATTTAGAATAATCAATCTAAATCTTTGGTGCACAAAATCGTACTACCTGAACTACAGTTGGGTTGTCTCCAGAACCTATAAGATAACGAGGGTTGCTCCAAATGAGGTCTGAAAAGGCAGCCAGATCTCCTTTCTCCACGGCCTTTCTCAATTTAGCGGTCAGATCTTGTGTTCTGGGGCTCTTGAAGCTATTTGCTTTCTCCTTGTTGATACTTTCTACCTCTGGAGAGGATGGTGCATCTATGAAGTCAAAGAATATTTTTCAGACTAAACTCAGAATGCAATGCAAATAGAAATATGCTTTCTTGGGAACTAAAACAAAACAGACAGACACACAGTATTCACCTTTCCAGTAATTCAATGCTTTGAGCAATTCCCCAACAAAATCAATGTAAAGATAGAGCCAGCCTAAACCATTGCCAACAGGAGTAGAGAGGGTGACTAGAAGGTCTAGGTTCACATCGAACTTAAAGAAGGGGGATTAATGTATACATCATGCAGTCTCAATGCTCAATTCTCTGTCATAAGGAGTTAAATCACTCTGTTTACAGAGCTCTTGCCACACCTCTCAAAACAAGAGTCACAGCCCATAAAAGGCAGAGGATGAGTACCGTATTTATCGGCGTATAACACGCACCTCATTTTAAGAGAGAAATTTCAGGGAAAAAAAACTTAAAGGACCACTATAGTGCCAGGAAAACATACTAGTTTTCCTGGCACTATAGTGCCCTGAGGGTGCCCCCACGCAGAACAGGAGTTTCTGTTTCCTGTACCCGGTCGGACTGACAGGAAGGTGCACACTGAGCGTGCACCTTCCTATCACTCCAGCCGGCCACCGCGGACAGCAGAGCGGCCCGGCCACGCTACAGGGGAGGGGAGGTGAGTACCAACTGCAGCCACCTGAGCGCTCAGGCGGCTGCAGTATTTAAAAGGCCGGCGTATAACACGCATCCACAATTTGCTCCCTATTTTCAGGGAGAAAAAGTGCGTGTTATTCGCCGATAAATACGGTACTTCAGTGACTGGCCCTCCCTCTGGGCTGCGACAGGGGCTTATAGAAAAGAATGAGATAGGAAGTTCCCAAATCTCAATAAACAAGGGCGGAGCGGTTATGTTAATTTTCTTTAACTATATGGCAACATTTATTTTGTAGCCGATTTAGTTACCACCTTTTAGAATGGCAAGCAACAAAAGGAACCCCACCCCCCCAAATAAACATGTACTCCAACACACTTTAATATGATTATAAATTTATACAGCATCATTACACTCTGCAGCACTTTACAATTGTAGAGAGGGGATATCTGAAACAACATTTGGGTTTAAAAGGGATACAATAGTGTTATTAATACAAATCTGTGTTCTTAACACTATAGTGCCCTCTGGTACCCCCTTCCCTTGCTCCCCCCACTCAGCACATGAATGGCTAAAAAACCCTAGTCACTTACCCAATACTCAGCACAGCGCTCAGTATCCTCCAAGGGGACCTAATGCACATGTACGTTACTTAGGCAACCTAGAGACTGTAAGCTCTTGGAAGTGCCTCTAGTGGCTGTGTTTTACATTGCAGAACTAAGGGGGGGCAGGGACACTGCACCCAGACCACTTCAATGAGATGAAGTCAGGGTACCTATAATATCTCTTTAACGGGACTTACCCATCAGCCAGTGGGGGCAAACATCTAGTCACCATGGTGACTAAAAAAATTGAACTGTAAGCTCACCTCTAAAAGATGGTGTATGTTGCATGGGCGACTGTGGCAGAGATGACATCTTGCTTGGAGATGGGTAGTAGTCGCATGCGCCTCTGGCAAACTTCTCTGCATCATCTTTTGATGGAAAAGCTTTGAATCTTGAACCCTTCATAATCTTAACAGCCTGAAGAGCTTCTTTCTTATCTGTATAAATGTGAACTTTTTCTAGAAGAATGAGAGAGTTACAATCAACACTTTTTTACATTTAAATGGACACTAGATTTAACTAATGTTCGGAGGAATTCCCCCGAATGTAGACCTGCTTGCAACTGTTTTTCCCCGAAATAAGCCATATATATATATATATATATACACACACACACACACACACACACACACACATATACGGGCTGAAACGTCGCTTTATTCTTTGCAATAAATGAAGATTTAAATATATGGAAATCCTTGAGTGCCGGTTTACTCCTTCACTTATGGTTCAGCCACCAGAGCACCAGGTATCTTGTTTTGTTATAGCTGGAGTGCAGGTTTATATATAACAAAACAAGATACCAACTATAACAAAACAGGATACCTGGTGCTCTGGTGGCTGAACCATAAGCGAAGGAAAAAAACGGCACTCAAGGATTTCCATATATTTAAATCTTCATTTATTGCAAAGAATAAAGCGACGTTTACACACACACACAGACACACATATACATATACACACATATATATATATATACACACACACACACACACACACACACACACACATACACACAGGAACCTCGGAAGTCGAACTTTCCCGTTCTCGAACAATTCGGAAGTCGAACTAAAATGTCTCGGTACCCGAACACATCACGTGACATTCACAGAGGGACACAAGTGTGGGGAAGCATGGGATACAAGTGTGAGATGAGGAAATATGGACTCCGTAAAGGGAGAGAGGGGAATATAGGAAGAGGACAACCGGAGAGCACACAAGTAAAGGGATCTGGACAGAATTATTATAAGGAGAAAGAGGAAATATGAGGACACCAGGAGGACAAAGGGACACGAGTAAGGGAAGAGGGACTATGACATAAGGATACAAGCAGAGGAAAGAGGGTTATTAGATATTTTGAACTGGATACAGCCATTTTATATGCTTTTGTCTGTTATGTCAGAAGAACAGTTACCTATCCCCATCCATGTAATTTTGGGAGTTTGGAATGGATTAAACAAATTTTCATTAATTCCTATGGGAAATGTTGATTCGGTTCTCGAACAGCCTTCTAGAATGGATTAAGTTTGAGGTCCGAGGTTCCACTGTATCTATGTGTGTGTGTATGTATATATATATATATATATATATATATATATATATATATATATATATATATCTCAAATACTTATTTCTCACTTACAGACATGCAAATCAATGTATAAAAACGTTTCTGGATTTTTATTTTTTTTGGTATTCTGTATATCACTGTTAAAATACACCCACCATTAAAATTCTAGACTGATCATTTGTCAGTGGGAAAATGTTAAAAATCAGCAGGGGATCAAATACACCCCACACCCCCCACTGTAATATATATTTTTATTGTTTACCATTTTCTCTAAAGTTGCCCTGTTTTGTTTTTAATTCGCTTGTTGCATAAAACAAATTAACCAGACTGTAAAAATAATGAAGAAGCCAATTTTAGCAGGCAAAATGCGTTTTAGCCTTTATTCAACTGCCACTGTACGTTGTGGTTTTAGTTATGTAATTACTAAAATTGTTCATAATTCTTTGCAGTTTTTTATCCACTTGGCATCCAGTTATTGGGAAGTGACAGAATTTTAACCTAGACTTGACGGCCCTAGTCAATGTGAGCAACAACTGCATCTTCACTCATTTTCTCTACTGAAGTATTGCATCCTGCACTATTGTGTATTTCTATCTTTTTTTTTGTTTAATTTCAATTTTACTGGTTTATATCAAAGGGATTGGGGTACAGAAAGAAGGGGGGTTGTCGAGAGGGAGGGATCACAATAGGCATAAAGCAACAGATTTACATGATGGATTGTTACATTGTATAATCAACACATGGTAGTTACATTGAATGTTCCAATACTGTATTTCTATCTTCTTTCGAGAGTGATATCCATTCTAGAAGAAAGTTGTTGTGCCATCTTAGAAGCACGGCTACGCTGATAAGGAGCCTTGTTACTTTCAGGCTGCCATTCATGTGAGTGTTCCTAGTTACCTGTGTGTAATTGTATTTATCATCTGCACTATATGCTTTTTTTTTGTATTGCTACCTCAAACGTCCTATGCATCACTTATATGAAGGGTAAGATAATCCTAGTTTAGTGTTCCACTATCACAAGAGTTTTACTTTTGGGGTTTTAGCATTGTTTTGGGGGTGGGGGAGTTGTTAGCTGCTAATAATTTTACTAGTCATTTTAAAAGTGCTTTTTCCACACACACACTTTATTATATTGTTTTTGTTAATATCAACAAGTCATAGCCATCTTATAGGGCAGTAAACCATCGTATCGTTCCCCACCGAAACATCCTTGGTTAGAAGTATAAAAATGCTGTTGGAAATAAATTGTGCTATAGTGCTGAATCTTATTTAATTGTCCAGATTACATTATATTATGGACTTGTGGTATTAAAAAAAAATAAAATAAATAAAAAGACCCAATATTGCAGAATTGGAATAAATCTATTATAAAGCCCTGTAGGAACAGGATCTAGGAGAGCTATTAAATGGTAACTCACGAGAGGACCTTTTGGTGGCAGCCTCTGGGCTTTCCATTTGTGTTCCCTCTCTCTCTCACATGCCCTTCTCCCCCCCCCACTCCTGTATAGCCCTTTTCACTTGGGTAAAGACCCACTTATACCTGTTGGTGGTTATGTGGCCAACGTGGAACTTATTTGTGTGTGTGTGGGGGGGGGGGAACCTACTGGTTACTGCCTTCCAGAGGTCATTTGGATTCTATCTTCAGCTGTTTCTTCTATCCAGGCCTCTGGAGGGTTTTCCCGAAGAAGAGAAAAAAACAAACAAACAAACAAAAAAACCACAACCACACCCCAAACACTGGCTGCATAGTAGTTTGATACTTTTTTCCCCCGCCCCCAATTAATCAGGGAGGTTTAAGACAAAAGGTCACTCATTTAATCAATCGCTTGACTGCATTGCAAGACAACACTTCCTCCTTGTAGTTTGTGCGTACTTTAATGTAATATTTTCACAGCAGGGTTCCTATCCTGCCACCCCCGCCACTCTATCCCTACACCTCTCCTATCATCGATGATGTAATTCCAGTAATATCAACCTAATGTGAGCAACTGGTACATTTTTACTTTGACATCTGTACTGTTTACATTGCTCGATTCATAAAGAAAGAATTGGAGGGGGAAGGAAGCAAAAATTTAGGACCAGTCTTATAAAACGTTAAAGCTTTTCACTGCTATAAAAAATACTTAAGCTTACCATTTCTTGCCAGTGTATCCTCAAGCACCGGGCAAACTGCATAGTACAAAGAGGGTTCTTTATTATTCATCTGGGAGCAAGCCTGAGAAGAATAAACAGACCTCTCCACAGGTACAAAATCCTTGTCTATCAAAGATGGTTCTTCAGAAGGTGGGTTCAGACCAACACTGTACCCAAAATCCTGTTCATCAGATGTGTGTTTCTGCTTAGTGTAGTATTGCGGTTGTCCATTGTTAGTGATTGGACTTTCATGAGATGGATTTAAAATCTCTGATGAAGCCACACCTTGCTGTTCCAATAAAGCACGAGCTAGCTTTTTTTCAAAGATAAACCTGGTGGTTGAGGTGACTGGACCACACTTTAAGCCAGCTTTCAGTATTTCTTCTCGAAGCTCATCAGGGTCCAGAAGCTTTAGTTGGCTAAGAAGTTTATCCATTCTCTGCTCCACTAAGAAAGAGGACAGAAAAAGTAATAGATTTCAAGCAGAAATTAGCAAATTACTTTTTTTTTTCTATTATATACATATACACCACACCCACACCCCAACATTTAATTTTTCTCCATGCTGCTAAAAGGATTCTGCTACGGTATTTTGCAATATTCACAAGTTAAGCAGTGTCCTACCTGGGTCCATATATAGTCAGAGAGGTTTAAATGACTCATTTAAATAATTACACTAAAATATTAAGTTTTGAAAAGCTGGGATACATATATACAAAAATCAAGAAGAAAAGGAAGCAACCATAAACAGTGTAAATACATACATATAATCTAACTGTGGGGAGAGAGGGGTGCTTACAAACACTTCCTCATCCAACCAAACAAACCCAGCTTCCCTTATTGGTTGTGATAAAGAGTCCAAATCTTGGCTGGATGCACACAAAGTCAGCTGCTACGAAACACTATGCACAGCCTCATTAAATACTACAAATCAGACCACACAAACCATAAAGTTGGCAAAGTCTCTTCCTGGGCTGGGAAAATGTATCTGCTATGGTTTACTTTGTAGCTACAGCGCCTTTAAATTATACAGATATATTAAATAATAAGGGAATTACTTCCAGCAAGCCGTGATTTTGAAGCGGATCAATTTCGGAGTTTTGGTTTATTTTGAAAAGATCACCCGAAAGTGACATTCTATTTGGGTCTCGTGGCCACAGGTGAGGTTTTATTTACCTCAGGCTGTCCCTTGAAACAACTGCAACTTTAAACTATTGTCCTCTTGTTGCCTGATGTCACATCGGTGTTGTACTCCTGTGCAAGTGCAAGAGAACACTGAGGCCTATAGACGATCCCACAACACGGAGGGATCCTCCGTAGAGTCTGACTCCCACAGACACCATAAGTCGGCTGCTGGGATTGGGCAAAAGTTGACAATGGAACTCTGCTTTTGTCAACCTCCATCTCTACTTTGGCTTATTGTATCTATGGCTTGCAGCAGAATTTTCTGTATTATGTGGCTATGGTGACAAGAGTACTATAGCATCCCGTCATTGAAGGGAGACCTCCCCACTTACCAAACAGACGTCCATCTGCACTTCCCCCACCTCCAATTTGGCCAGTATGGGTTTATGGCCAGCACCATTGCTTGTTCTGTTTTCACCTTGAGCAGAATCCTTGGGATTAGGCTCACGGGGGGAAAAAATGTATGCAAGGCTGAAGTCCCACTTGAACAACAGTCCATCCAGAACCAGAGGCATGTCTGCTTTGAAGAGGGAAGCAAATGTGATCACCTTTGCATTTGATCTTCTTACCATTAGATCGATGACAGGCAGACAATCTTTACTAGATGAGAAAAAATGACCGGATTCAGAGACCACTCGTTCTGGGACCATTTTGATCAGCTCAAATAGTCTGCTATAATGTTGTCTATCCCTCGTAAGAGATTAGCGGACAGGTCATCTAGAGGACTTTGAGCCCAGGACATAATCTTTGTGGCAAAGGGACTGCAATTTTCTCACCCTCGTACCTCCTGGTTTGTTCAGGTAATTCACCGTAGTCTGATTGTCTGAATGAATTTTCATCGTTTTCTCCACAATGAGAGCTCTGAACTGATGAAGAGGGTATAAGATGGTTATAAACTCCTTGTAATTTGAAGATTCCCTTTTTTTATCGTCGGATCATGTGCCTTGCCTTAAGTGACACTGCAGATGAGCCCCCCAACCTGTATTTGAAGCATCCATTGTAATCATGGCCCAGTTTTTTGGTCGAAAAGATAGACCTGCCATGAAACTGGTCTTTTGCCACCAAGTTAGTTGTCTTTTTACAGGATCTGATATACACTTCTCGAAGCATCCAAGTCTTTCTTTGACCACTGCGCAAGAATTTCCCATTGTAAAGGCCTTGATTCTGCTTTGGATCATTTTACTCCAGTTAGGTGAATACAATGTCTTACTTGATTTAAAAAAAATAAAAATAAAAAAAAATACCTAGAAACTGAATTGACCTTGTAGGAAGCAGACAGGATTTTTCTAAGTTTATAACCCAGCCATGTTCTTTGTTCTTTCAGAATTCTGAGGGTGTAAACCACATCCGACTCTAGAGTCTCTTGAATTTGCCTTTATGAACCAGTCGTCCAAGTATGAAACAACTGTGATAGGCATTAGGACAGTTGTAAAAATGCTGTGAGCCGAGGAGAGACCGAATGGAAGGGCTTTGAATTGAAAGTGATAAACCTTGTGACCTTTTCTTATGGCACACCACAGGTATTTTCTTTTGCCTACGTCCATTGCAATGTGGATTTTAAAGATGCCTACCTTCAAAGTCGCCATAAAATCCCCTATTTGAAGGATATGAGTGACTGATGCTATCGTTTCCATTCTGAAATGCTGGTATGGAACCATCTTGTTCAGCTCTTTCAGATCAAACATGGGACAAAAGGACATATCTGGTTTTGGGACCAGGAACAACCGGGAGTAGACACCCCGATATAGCTGGGTACTTGGAAATTTTTCTACAACACCTTTCTTTAACCCATTAAGGACACATGACGGAAATATTCCGTCATGATTCCCTTTTATTCCAGAAGTTGTGTCTTTAAGGGGTTAAAAGAGTGACCCTAGCAGAGAAGAGGATTTGGTTTTGGAACACCTAAGAACTTTATTCTGTATCTTTTCGCAACCAGATTCAGAATTAGGGATCGACCGATTATTGGTCTGGCCGATATTCAGTATTTTCGGCAATATCGGTATCGGCAAATAGAGATATTGCAGACCAGGCCCTCCGGACCCATGACAAGCCCAGAGGTCCTGGGGGGCCCAGCAAGCGCTTACTTACCTTACAAGCAGCTCCCCAGTGTAAATATTGTGAGTCCTGCGACCATTAGAGCGTTGTCGCGGTTTACCATGGCAATTCTCCGCGCGGCACACAGGCCGTGAGATTTACACTAGGGAGCTGCTTGGAAGCGCGCTTGCTGTGCCCCCCACTGCACAGTTTATGCCCCCCTCCCTGGCCAGGTAACAAGCAGGGAGGGGGGGGGGCTGATTAAAAAAATACCATATATACTCAAGTATAATATGAGTTTTTCAGCAAATTTTTTGTGCTGAAAAACCCCCACTCGTCTTATACTCGAGTCACTGTCTGTATTATGGTAACTTACATTGCCATAATACAGACCAGGACCGCCGGGCTCATTAGAAGCACGGCAGTCCTGTTGGGGGCAGGCAGAGAGCTGTAACTTACCTTTCCTGCAGCTCCTTTCTCTCTCCCCTCCGGTCCAGTCAGCTCCCTCTTAAGTCTCGCGAGAGCCGTGGAGTCAGAACGTTGCCACGGTTTATTTTTTATTCAATTAAAAATGCCTCCCCTCCCCATATTTTACACAAATTACACACACTACACAAACACACTGCATCCACTATACACACACACACACACTACACAAATACAGACAGCTCCCCTGTCTAAACACACTTCATCCACCACACGTGGCATGTATATTTTGTACCTTTACCTTTAGAAATAGTTTATTTTTTTCAAAATGGTAAATGTACCGAATATCGGTAAGTTATCGGCCTTAAAGTTTACAGATTAAATCGGTTCTGGCTCTATAAATAAAAAAATCTATGGATTTGCAATGGTCTCCCTCCATCTGTAGGCAAATTGTATCTGTTCACCCACTCATATGGCGGCAATCTTTTTGCTCTGTCAGACTTGATATCTTTGTGTGTGTGTAAAAACCTTGGATCTTTCCTTTGTTGACGTAAAAAACCTGGGTTTGTCTTGATACCCCCTACGGGTCTTGTACTGGAAGATTTGTATCTGGGTTTCCATGAATACGTCCGGTCCTGAGGGAGAGCCTGTTTGGTTTCGGATATTTGTCGAATGAATTCTTCCAAAAGGAGAAACAAATTTCTTCCACTCAAAAGGAAGTTCGCACAGTGCAGACTTTGAGGCTGTACCAGCCGCCCAGACTTTAAGCCATAGTGTCCTGCGGGCCACAGGTGTCAAGACCAGAAACTTCTCCAATCGGTAGGTTAGCCTTTTTAAACAACTGAGCAACTTGCAAGTCTTCCCACTTGTCTTCTCCCTGTAGTTTAACAATGCCCTTGAAATGTCTGGAAATAAATGCCCTTTTTTCAGGGTTCTTCCATTCTCTGTATACAAGTTCCAAAATCTGTTGTTGAACTGGAAGGGCTTTTCTACTTGCTTTATCTGATGTGTCATCAGAAAAAAAAAAAAAAAAAAGATTCTGTTTTTGCAAGTATGCATCTAGTTGCTGTTTGAACATCTGTATGGACTGATAAAAACCCACTTGTTTTGTAACTGAAAATTCGCTGGAAGTCTCCGAATAGGAAGAAATAGAACATTTGCCCGAGGACAGTTCTGATCCAGACAAAGATCTCTTCCGTTTTAGCCTTTGGTTGCTTTAACAAGAGCTGTAACCTTTGACTTTGCAGACTCTTTGAATGACTTAAATGTCTGGGCCAGATTGTCTTGAAACCAAGACAAGAATGACTTCATGTCCTGTTGCTTGGACATTTCCAGCGATAAGGACAAACACTGATTACAGGTTTTCCGTTTTAAACCATCTGGTAGTGGTGTGGAGCATTCACTACAACTCAGATGTTTATTTGAAACTAGCTTTTTTTTTTTTTTTTTTTTTGGAGCAGGCACCTTGTCTTTATCCATAATATCTGGAGAGACAGGACTAGACATATATGCAATACATAAGTTACAAACTTGTTGAAAAATTAAAGATAGACACAGATCTTAGAGACTGAAAAATCTCACCTCTAAAACCTCAGATGCCATCCGTTCCTGATGGAACAAGAAAGAGAACTGAGGTTCAATGGCAGGTTGGTGCCTTATACCTGGAGGAACTTTTATGTTAATTTTTAATTTCAGATGCTTGTCCCGTGGGAAGAGTAGATCCCTATTGAACTGCCACCATATGTCAGGAAAAGTAGGTTGCTAGAATAGTATTCACTGAGGGCTTGGTGTTTTGTTTTGATGACAGTTGAATGAGAGGAATCAGAGTGCGGGGAGAGAAAGCTGTTCACAGTTTAATTGAGAAATTGCTGCAGAAAAGCAGTTTGGCAAACATCAGTGGTTTAATAATATCACAGGCACATGAACAACTAGAAAGGTATTGGAGAAGTCTTATTATACAAAGTTTCTATGTGGCTATAAACTGTTTAAATTTGGGGGAGCGCACAGCTCCTCCTGGGCTACTGAACTAAAAATAGAAATCTCCACTATGACTCATTATTTGGAACTGGGATGCATTCCTTCTTTAGAAGGGCAAGACGTTTTGCCAACATCATAACGCACAAACTATGCACTTCCTGTAACAGAGCAAGACATACGATGAAAGCGGAGAAGTGTTTATTTCACCTATAATTACAACAGGATTAGCCCTGGCAAATTTTAGGCATATTTCTTTTAATCCAGTTACAATATGAGGAAAGAGGTGTGGTAATAAACTTAGAAACCACGGATGCATGTCAAACCAATTTCAGCATTTGATATTAAAACACATTCTCGCTCTAGCCTCATAAAAATATATATATGGAGTTATAAGAAGTATAAGCAATTTAAAAAAAAAAAAAGTTACAGCTTTGAGTAGAATATTGATTTCCAATGATTAAAAGCACATGCATTTGTGAATATCTCAAAGACAGGAGGAATCTAACAGCAGTCTTTCCTCCCAACAGATGCAAGTCACACTGGAAGTACTACAATTCTAAGCTTGTCTCGAACGGATTAGATCTTCAATCATCAAGTATTCCACTAATTTCTCTATTGTTCTAAAGAACTGAAGTGGTTTCACTTGTAATATAAATGCATATTTCCATGGAATAAGAAATAAGCTTAAAAAAAATAAAAAAAAATTAAATATGGATATACCATGCATCTCCAAGAATGGATAAACCTATATTAAAGACTAGACTATCTTACACCAGTATAGATTTCGAGAGTCTCAAAGATATTCGATGGCGGAGTGTATTCATACAGGTTCATTAAATTGTACAAGACTTAGAGCACTTGCAAATTTAGTTACACAAAAGTAAAGATCTCCACCAGAGATCAGTTCAACAAGAAAAAGTTGGGGCCAACAATGCAGAAATCGGAATCAAAATGAATATCGGACGAGATAGATCAAGAAAACAATGAAAATGTCTGGGGAAGAGCTGTTCACACAATGATCTCTATAAAAGTTTATTAAGAAACATGCACCTTATAAGAACAATATTAAAATCTTTGGCAGACAAACTCTTAAATGTCAACACTCTCCGACTACGTTACATTAAGGGGGAATACAGATTTAATATAGATTATTTTTTTATATTATCTTGAAATTCTAGACTCTCAGCCTTAGTTTAGCTTAAAATAATTTGCCCATCTATAGTTTAATGCAGGTGCTTTTTGCTGGGAAAAAAACAAAACAAAAAAATAGCAACTGGCAGCAAGAGTTATATTAACACCACACTTTTAACAATAGGTCCAGAAATGTAGAACAGACAGGCATTTTAGGCCACATTTAATTTTTGAAAGCATCAAAACCAGAAAGATAAGATAATGGCATGCCATCTGCCTATTTTATTTAATCATAATAAAACAGTAACCTATTTCCCTGCCTTACTGCCAACCACACACACTACAACTTACAGATGGCACATGTATAGTGTCCTCACCTAGCAGCAGCTGGCAGCCAGGTTGCGTGGTGGCAGGAGGTGGCACTGAGTGAGACTGCTTCCAATGTCTCCGCTCTCCTAGGCGTAGAAGCCAGCCCACCAATGCCACAACCAGACAGGCCAGGAGAGCAGGCCATGCCTCCACAAAATCCCAGGAGGGAAGGATCCCAGAGACAGACATCTCCACACAGTGCTAGAACACATACACCCTGCAAGCTACCCACACAAGTCTACACCCAGCTGGACAGGGTGTCCTCACAGTGACCCAGTCTGTATGCTCCCTGATAACTATATGATAGATAGTCAGTACAGGCTTATTGAAGTGACTGAATTTACACAGTGTGCCCCCACTCTCTATGGCAATGCTCACTGTATTTACCCCCACCCCACTCTATGGCAATCCTCACTGTATTTACCCCCCCACTCTCTATGGCAATCCTCACTGTATTTACCCCCCACTCTCTATGGCAATCCTCACAGTATTTACCCCCCCACTCTCTATGGCAATCCTCACAGTATTTACCCCCCCACTCTCTATGGCAATCCTCACAGTACCCCCACTCTCTATGGCAATCCTCACTGTATTTACCCCCCACTCTCTATGGCAATCCTCACAGTATTTACCCCCCCACTCTCTATGGCAATCCTCACAGTATTTACCCCCCCACTCTCTATGGCAATCCTCACCCCACTCTATGTATAACTCACTGTATTTGCATTCCCCCACTCTCTATGGCAATCCTCGTATTTTAATTTCCACTATCTATGGCAACTCACTGTATTTACCCCCTACCTCTATGGCAATCCTCACTGTATTTACCCCCACTCATTCATGGCAACTCTCACTGTATTTACCCCCACTCTCTATGGCAACTCTCACAGTATTTACCCCCCACCTCTATGGCAATCCTCACTGTATTTACCCCCCACTCTCTATGGCAACTCACAGTATTTACCCCCATCATCTATGGCAACTCACTGTATTTTACCTCACTCTATGGCAACTTCACTGTATTTGGCCCCCCACTCTCTATGCAATCCCTCACTGTATTTACCCCCACTCTCTATGGCAACTTTCACTGTATTTACCTCACTCTCTATGGCAACTCACTGTATTTACCCCCCACTCTCTATGGCAATCCTCACTGTATTTCTACTTCACTCTCTATGGCAACTCACAGTATTTACCCCCACTCATCTATGGCAATCCTCACAGTATTTACCCCCACTCTATGGCAATCCTCACCGTATTTTACCCCCACTATCTATGGCAATCCTCACTGTGTATATTCCCCACCTCTATGGCATCCACTGTATTTACTACCACTCTCTATGCAATCCACTGTATTACCCCCACTCTTCATGGCAACTCACCGTATTTACCTCCCCACTATCTATGGCAATCCTCACTGTATTTACCCCTCAATTTCTATGGCAACTTCCACTGTATTTATCACCTCCTGGCAACTCTCACTGTATTTTACCACCACCTCTGGCGCGGCAACCTCACTGTATTTGCCCCCACTTCATGGCAACTCACTGTATTTACCCCCACTCTCTATGGCAACTCACTGTATTTACCCCCCACCATCTATGGCAACTCACCGTATTTAATACCCCCACCTCTATGGCAACTCACTGTATTTACCCCACTCTCTATGGCAACTCACTGTATTTTACCACCACCTATGGCAATCCTCACTGTATTTACCCCCACTCTGGCGGTCCTCACTGTATTTACCCCCAATTTCTATGGCAATCCTCACAGTATTTACCCCCACTATCTATGGCGCAATCCCCACTGTATTTACCCCCACTCTATGGCAATCCTCACTGCATTTACCCCCACTCTATGGCAACTCACCGTATTTACCCCCACCTCTCTATGGCAATCCTCACTGTATTTACCCCCACTCTCTATGGCAATCCTCACTGTATTTACCCCCCCACTCTCTATGGCAATCCTCACAGTATTTACCCCCACTCTCTATGGCAATCCTCACTGTATTTACCCCCCACTCTTTATGATAAGACCGCCTGTCTTAGTATAAGTGTCTGTGACGGTAAGTGTTGCAGTGCACACGGCGCTGATCCTATCACTATCCGGCACTCCCGCCAGATGCTCCTGTCTTCCGGTTAGTCCCGGGCCCCGCACACCCTGCCTGTATCTCCCCAGTAATCACAGCCAGACCCTCAGCTCTCCGGACCGGGCGGGTATCAGACACACACTGAGCACAGCCCTACCTCCTCTGCCTTAAGAAGGATCCACCCGAGACCAAGCGGCTGCACGCCTGCGACACTTCCGGTTCGGCCCGTCAGGACCCCATGGTCTCCAGGCAACAGGGCTGCCCCGGGACTGCCTGAAACGTGCGCACTGTATCTCTGTAACACACTGCATAGAGCGAGGTATCGCAGTAAGGGCGTAGAGCGAGGTATCGCAGTAACGGCGTAGAGCGAGGTATCGCAGTAAGGGCGTAGAGAGGGGTATCGCAGTAAGGGCGTAGAGCGAGGTATCGCAGTAAGGGCGTAGAGCGAGGTATCGCAGTAACTGCGTAGAGCGAGGTATCGCAGTAAGGGCATAGAGCGAGGTATCGCAGTAAGGGCGTAGAGCGAGGTATCGCAGTAACGGCGTAGAGCGAGGTATCGCAGTAACTGCATAGAGCGAGGTATCGCAGTAAGGGCATAGAGCGAGGTATCGCAGTAAGAGCATAGAGCGAGGTATCGCAGTAAGGGCATAGAGCGAGGTATCGCAGTACCTGCGTAGAGCGAGGTATCGCAGTACCTGCGTAGAGCGAGGTATCGCAGTAAGGGCGTAGAGCGAGGTATCGCAGTAAGGGCATAGAGCGAGGTATCGCAGTAACTGCATAGAGCGAGGTATCGCAGTAACTGCGTAGAGCGAGGTATCGCAGTAAGGGCGTAGAGCGAGGTATCACAGTAACGCGTAGAGCGAGGTATCGCAGTAACGGCGTAGAGCGAGGTATCGCAGTAACTGCATAGAGCGAGGTATCGCAGTAAGGGCGTATAGCGAGGTATCGCAGTAAGGGCGTATAGGGAGGTATCGCAGTAAGGGCGTATAGGGAGGTATCGCAGTAATTGCATAGAGCAAGGTATCGCAGTAAGGGCATAGAGCGAGGTATCGCAGTAATTGCATAGAGCGAGGTATCGCAGTGCATAGAGCGAGGTATCGCAGTATCGCAGTAAAGGGCAGGCAGAGCAGGAGGTATCGCAGTAAGGGCGTATAGGGAGGTATCGCAGTAATTGCATAGAGCGAGGTATCGCAGTAAGGGCATAGAGCGAGGTATCGCAGTAATTGCATAGAGCGAGGTATCGCAGTAAGGGCATAGAGCGAGGTATCGCAGTAATTGCATAGAGCGAGGTATCGCAGTAAGGGCGTAGAGTGAGGTATCGCAGTAAGGGCGTAGAGTGAGGTATCGCAGTAACTGCACAGAGCGAGGTATCGCAGTAATTGCATAGAGCGAGTGAAGTTGAAATCAATCAATAAATTGATTATTTTGTGTATCTGCCCCTGGCCAAATTAAAGAAACAGTGCGTGCACGCTCCCTGAAGTAATTCACACCAGACACAAGTTTCAGGTTGATGAAAAACTAGGGGAATGTTTATTCAGAGGGGACGGCAAGTCCCTTTTAAAGCAAAATTACATCATATGCATTGTCAGAGATAACATGAAATAATACATCATTAATTGGTTAGGTGTTAAGTGGTTCTCTTAATGCTCTGGCTACAAGGGGTGATGTCACTGGTATCATGAGGGTCTCCCCCAGATTCCAGCGCCATCTTGTTACACGAGGTAGTTAGTCGATGTTAGAGGGGAAGCTCCTAGCGGCCATTTTAATTAATCACATAAAAGTAGAATAATGATGATTATCGTTAAATGAGTAAATAGACATTTTACTAGCTAAAAATTAGGTTATCTTATTTCCACAACAGTCCCCCCTTAAAATGGCTATTTACTAAAAGACAACTACTACTGTCCCTAACATGTCCCTAATTTGCCTGCAGCTCATCTGTCTTAACAGGCCTCGAACGCTTCACTCCGCAGGTATCCCGCAGTAGCTAACCCACTACATCTCCCACAACAGACTTTTACCTGTAGAGACAGATGCTATCCCTATAGAAATGCAGTTGTCTGTTTGAATTGGTGCGACTGGAGGAGTGTGTGTGGTGTGTCACATTCTGTCATTGATGTCTTGGTGTAGGAATGTAGGAGTTACATTATCTATGGTTCGTCCTACTGTCTTCTGTAAGTATTTCTGTATGCAAGGTAATACACAAGTCAGGAAAAGGAAGAGAACTATCATAGTGAGGACTGCTGTCCCAACCTGGAACAACGTTTTCTGACATCCATTCATCCATCCGAACCATCTATCCCATGTGTTAGTGACCCCAGAGTTGTTTTGTAATTCATCAGAGAGACTATCCAATTTTTCTATTGCCATGGTTACTTTACCATTGGGTCCAGTGTTATCTGGAATAAAGGTACAACATGTCATGGTATTGGGGAGTATTTTACACATGCCCCCCTTTTCTGCTAGAATCATATCCAGAGCCATCCTATTCTGGAATGTCATTTGGGAGGTAGCTTGCAGCTGTTCTGCCAAGCCCTGTAGGGCATCTTTAGTATAATTAACAAATCGCTGCTGGTTATAATAGATATAGTTAATCCAATTGACATTCTTATTAACGGTAATTAGTGGAATCAGGGATTCAAACCCAGCTGCTACCTCATCACTAGCCTTAAATTCATTTGGTACTCCCCTTGGCACCCCTATAGCATCAATATAAACATGTAGGTCAAAGCTGCCACGGATGGGGATTTCCCTTTTAGCTCTAAAATGCGTGTGGGCAGGATCAAATGGACTTTGGTGATCATCTGGGATAATGTGGATGGGCATTATGGCTTTGGTTAAGGTGCACTCCCCCACCATAGACCAGCTAATTGGGATCTTAATTGCTTATCTCCACACCGCCAATATATGTCCCCGACTGTTTTGACATGATTTACCAATAACGTCATAGGTGGCTCGTGGTAGGCAGAACAATAGCCAGACGGAAACTTGCCCATGAACTTACCAGTGTTTTTAGGCAATGAGTAACAGGTGTAGTTGCCTGGGTATACTGTGACTCCATCAGGTGGTCTAATGTTTCCCTGGGTGATGGGATACACCTTTTTCCATGATTCACGTCGATGAATTAGTGGTTGATTGTGCATAGAGGCTTAGAACACACAGTTCAACATCAGGAGGTAGACTGAGGGGCACTGTACCCAAATGGGGTCTAGCTCCACCACATACATAACAGTTAGTCTTGTTGTGTGAATTAGCATTATACCTCATCCATTCTAGCCACAGGTTAGTGTCTGAGAACCCAGTTTCCACTGCCATAGTGTCTTCAAAAGTAGGATTAGCAATGGCAACCATATCATGCAAAGTTTTAATGTGAGGTTTGAGTGGATTGATGGTCATGTGAGTTGTACCTACCCAGTCAGGAGAAGTGAGCATGTCTTGCAAATAGAAGGTTCCCAACTGATTGTGTGAACCACCGACCTTCCACTACATACCCATTACATATTCCCCAGCATCGCCTGGGCTGGGATGTTCTATATTTAAGGTGAGCTTCATTGGAGTTGACCCTGTAGGTTTACTCAAGGTCATTCTATATAACAAGGGTTTCCCATTTCTGTCAAGTCTGTCCAAAGCACATTGGGGCTTATAGCCCCATGGTTTACCAGTATTCCAACCAGCCGCTTTCCAAGAACTACAATGATGTCCCCAGCGACCTCCGGTTACACAGATATATGGGTCCTTCTTGTTAGGTATGTCTTTGTATATAGCAGAGTGTTGTGTTTGTGGAAAAGTACAAGAAACAATATCACAATAATCAAAGGTAAACGTAGTCACATGTGTGTTTGAAGAATTGTACCAGAACGTATAAACATGATTATATTTAGTTATAGCGACTTGTTGGGCCTCTATTAGGCCTAGCAGCAAAAGAAAGGAATCTCATGATTCACAGGAATCTCATGATTCAGCGGAGGCGGCTTCCTCTGGAGCAGGCACTTTCTTGCAATGTGAAGCGTGTATCCAAGAACTCTTTCCAGCCAACTTTACTGAGGTAGCCGTAATCAGTAGTACTTGATAAGGACCATCAAATCTTGGTTCGAGAGTGTGTTTCCTGAGGAATTTCTTGACCATAACCCAGTCACCAGGAAGTAACTTGTGAGTACCTGTATTCGACTCAGGATCTGGAATAGAAGAGAACACTTGGGTATGGATTTTGGTCAAGGCATGAGAGAGAGCAGTCTGACTGAATCTGACTGAATCTGAAGCTGTTGGGGGAAATAACAACCTAACCTTGGTGCTGTACCGAACAAAATCTTATATGGGGATAGACTGAACTTCCCACTAGGGGTATATCGTACGCTGAAAAGACCTAGGGGAAGACTCTCGGGCCAGGGCATATTGGTCTCCTGGGACATTTTAAGCATTCTGGCTTTCAACGTGCCATTCATGCGTTCTACCTTACCACTACTCTGTGGATGATAAGGCATGTGGAAGACAAGGGTCACCCCCAGTGCTGCCCAGACTTCCCTTGTTAACAGGGCAGGAAAGGAAGTTCCTTGGTCACTTTCAATCACTTCTGGAACACCATATTGGCAGACAATTTCTGTGAGAAGATGCTTTGCTGTGGTCTTTGCTGTAAGGTTAGCGACTGGAAAGGCTTCTGGCCATCCTGAGAACATGTCCACTATGACTAGTGCGTACTCATATTGTCCGCTCTTCGGCATCTGGATATGATCGATCTGTATTCTCTGAAATGGATAATGTGGTTTGGCCAGGTGATTAGGAGCAGCTTTGATAATCTTTCTGGGGTTACATTTGGCACAAATAGTACAGGATCTGCAATAGTTCTGGGTCAGAGTAGTAATGCCAGGTGCTTCAAAGTATTTATCAATTAGGGAATTCATCAGATGTTTGGAGAAGTGGGCTGGTCCGTGAGCCCACTGGACAACAGCTGGGTACATATTTCTGGGTAAACAAAACTTGAGGTTGATGGTATAAACATCATTTCGTAGGATTGCCCCTTTGTCCTTCCAGCTTTTCTTGAGGGGTTGCTGTGGCTTGCTGTTCTTTCAAGAGTTTGAGGTCTGTTGGCAAGGTTTGCATAGTATAGATAGGGGTAATCTTGGTGGCCACTCTTCTGTCCACTTTCCATCCTTGCCTTGCTGCCTCCTTCGCAGCCTGATCAGCCAGGTGATTTCCCTGGGCTTCCTCTGAATTCAACCTTC